GATCACTAGATTGAATCGCCGCAAATAATAACGTGTCCCCTAGTCTGGTCCGCTAATAAGTCGAAGCCGAGGAGTAACCATCTCTATTCTGCTTCGTTCACGGTAAGACGATAGCAAAGTCAAAAGCGGTAGCCACGATCGTCTATTCCGGCAATTTCTATACGATTGCACTGTACGCTCCGCTGCCTTCTTCTTTACCCTGGCCGATTTATAGAAACTGACGACCAAAAGACTTTCATTTTCCTCCACCGTAGGCGGCGGCAATCTTATCGCATGCCTTGGCTGTTTACGTGGAGCGATCGCAATCAGCACTTCGTTTACTTCTTCACGGGTGGTTATACTCGCAGCCAGTGTACTCGATGTCTCGTCTTCGCCCTTCTCACTTCGGATAATTTCTAGTATTTAGTTTGAAAGGAGTGCACCTATCTTCCTAATCCCCGTTGAGACCAGAAGATTGTAACAGCCAAGCCAGCGTTGAATATCGCGTAAGCACGATGATCTTGCGTGAAACGAGCATCGTGTAGCAAATATCCAGTATTCGAAGGAGGGCCAAGACCTTTTTCTCCACCATTCGGTAGTTAACTTCGGCTTCAACGTACGACTAGAGGAAGTAACAGGCCAAAAAATTCCGTCATGTTCTTGTAGTAATGCAGCCGATATCGTCCACTTGCTGGCATATACCACGATCACAGGAGGTCGATCCGGATCAAAATGGTTCAAGATCGGCGTTGCAGCTATTTTAGCTTTAACAGGGGAAATGCGATTATAGCTCTATCCCATCGAATCCTGCCCTCGAGATCTTGATCATCTCCGGTATCAGCATCCAGATCGTGATCGTCCCCAACTTTCAAAGTGGATCGCATATCGGTCCAACATCAGTAATGGACATCTGAGCGTCGCTAGCACGGCTGATCTTATGAAAATCTGCTTCCCGTAGCTCATAAAGCACCGACGCAAAAATCGTAAAGTCTTCGATAAACTGACTGTAGTAATTTAAAATTCCTAATAATATTGCATCGATCGCAAAATTTAAGGAAACGGAATATTCACAAGCGATCTCAAATCTTTTGGATGAGCTACCAATCTGCAAGCGAGACCTGATAACCCAGGTAATCCATTTTACGACGTCCATAGAAACGTTTAACCACACTGATCAATAAATTCTACTTATTTTTTGCATCCAACAATCGTTCCACTTTATATACAGAGTGTTCCACGAAGTGGAGGGTATCAATATATCATCGATATCTCACTGATGGTCTTAGATCAGTATCCGATTCACCTTCGGTGAACACGCCGATCGGTCTTGACAATTCAGTAGTGATCAAATCAGGATTTGTACCACTCATATAAGGCATTGTCAATTAATCGTTGGTAAATCTGAGGAGCATTCTTTAAGCCAAAATGGATACGCAACCATTCATATAATCCAGTGTGTGATCGTTGCAGAAATACACCTAGCTAGTTCCGTCATCTCAACCACCCAAAATCCACTCGCTCGCCATATCCAGAGAACAGTACCACATAGCTTTATCCATGTCTTGCAGTAATTTACTGATCAGTGGCATAGGATATACCATCAATCGGGTCAACTGGTTCACCCTACGATAATCGATACATAATCTAATGTCTTCGCCATTCTTCTTAATATTCACCACGATTGGCGAAGCCCATGGTGATGTCGATTGTCGAATAATCCTGGCAGATAATAACCCCTTGATCAGATCTGCTAATTTTTCCCGAAAATTGGGTGCCACCGGCCGTACTCTTTGCGCGATCGGGTTTGCTCCTCCAACATCAATATCACAAACCGCTCTACGCGCCGCGAGGGTAAGGCATTGCCTTTCCCGATGAGCAAGTGGCGTTTCTTCCAAATCAATTGTCTTAACTTCTCTTGATCTTCTGTCAGCGGTATTTCAGGATCTTTAACTTGAATATCCTCGATAGCAACTTCCACTGTTTGCGTAACAATCTCTGGAAAAATCGCTTTATGTTAATCTACGTCTTCTGCGAACAGCTCACCGCTTTCATGAACATATACCGAATCTTTGGGCAATGCATCTTATGTTGGTATTGGTATCTCATCGATCACAACTGTGGTGGCTTTGTTGCCTTCTTGGTCTGTCTTTTTCTGTTCTTGATCCGATGTATCTTGATTTTTCTTGTTAATCGAAATCGTCCTTAGATCATCGATCATCTCACCAGATCGATCTTGTTTCTAATCCTTTCCTTCAATATCGGTGGTCGCACTCTTCTCGACTGTGTCCGTATTGATTAAAAAAGGCACTTCTACCGAATGATAATCGTCCCTGTCCAAGTGATTTTAGTCATCAATCTGACCTTTAGTTTTGCCGTCGTGGATCGTCGTGTCGCAAGTTTGCGGTGAGATCTCGTCAGCGCTCGTAATCTCTTCGATCTCTTCTTTTCTTGGACGGGTTAATATCTTAGATGGCGTAGGATACGATGGGTGATCAAGCAACGGTCCTGTCTGCTCCTTCGGGAACTCTTCCTTCCGATTTGTAATTGCTTTATAGGCCAGAGTCTGCCACTCATTATAACGGCGCGATTCAACCAAGACGTACCCTTGTGATCGAAGTATCATATCTATAGTCATCCATTAGCCTAACGAAGATCCGTTATTTAATTTTACTTCTCAATTCACTAGATTGGACAGCTGCAAATATTATATCCGGCCCGATCCGGTGGTCAAAGTCGGTATCGTTTTTGATCTCGTCTTACCCAAAGCTTAGCTTCCGTGGATCCACTACCAATCTTTATTTCTGTTGATCCGCCTACTGGAATCACTACATGTTTATCATTAATCGTGATTGGCTGCATAATCGATCGATACGTCGTTCTTCGCCCAGCCAAGTGAATTTTGGCTTCATATGGTAAATAAAGAGTTTCATCTGCCAGATCCAAGCGAATTTCATCTGGGACCATAAAATCCATACCCAAGATCGCTTCTTGGCCAACTTAATCACCCACCCAGATATCAAAATAATATACTAGTGATCCGGTTAATGTGATCTTGATCTTGGTACGTCCTTCCGTCATATACGTGTTCTCACCAATTCTAATACATTCTTTCCTTTGGCTCTCGTCAATGACACATCCTACCTTACGAGCAAAAGTGGTATCGACGATCGAGACTTCGGCTCCAAAATTAAAATAGCATATTAGCCTTCTCATTGTTGATCTTTCCCACTGTCTTGGCCTGCTTGAATCACTTTCATGGGGTATGATATTTTAAATACCCTTCTGATTCGCCTGGCGCTAGGTCGATCTCCATCTGCTTAGGCGATCGAGCAAATTCATCAACTTTTCTTAAACTCGCTATTGAATGCATAAAATCCAAATCACATGTATTAATGATCGGCTCGATCCGTGTATTACCATCTTGATCTGTCCTTCTGCCTTCAACTTATGCATCAATGCAGAGCTTAGAACGCTCGGCTCGTACCAGATTCCAACCTGGCGAGCGTCCTAGTTTAACATCTCCTCCACTTTTGGCGGGATCATCCCAGCACTCTTTGTCTGCACATACCACTGACGGAACAGATTGTAGAATTCTTCCATCGGGGAGTTCCCTCCTTCTTGCATCTCCCTACAGGCCGTACACACGAAAAAACATTTGTATGAAGGATGTCCTTTGCGACCACACTGCTGGCAGGTCAATCGTTTCCAACACCCGCGATCGTCATGTTTCTTCATTTGCAATGGGTACAGGTTCTTGGTAGATCAACACGATCCTGACTTTTGCCTTGATCGGTCGCATTCTGTCGATCACGGTATTCTCTTGACTTCTCCGCCTGATCCGGTGTTGCCGCTACAAACATACGACGTAGTTCAACTTCCGCGTCTAGTTCACTGATTCCGACCATGACCTACTGTTACCCTTTCCGATATGGATTGCTCTCACGTGACGAGTCATTTTCGATGATGCTTGATCGGGAACAGGAGCTGATCGTTGGCGAAATTAACTCGATCCCATCGATGCTTTGCCTTGACAACTCTCCATGCGCTGACAGGCGCGTAAAGTTTCTTTCATGTCGTCAGCATCTTCCAACCTTAATAAAGTCAACTTCTTTGCCAAATCACGATCATCTAATGTCTCGATAAATGGTTCCACATGCACTCGTCTTGTGGCCGGTGTTCCTTCCCGGATCGAGATCTTTGCTCGTATCGCCGCCACATTCAATCGATACAAACACTCCAATGGGGTCTCATTCGGCTTCTTTCTTGCGTGGTATTATTGTCTTCCGACGGATACGCCGTATCCTCCATACGGAATCATGAAACTTTTCAATAGACATATTCAATAATGACGAGTTGTTCTGCTCAGCTGGCTATACCAATTCCGTGCTGGCCTCGTTAGCAAATCGCCCATTACGAGACACTTTTCCACGTCAGGAGCCTGGTCACGTAAGAAAGCAGACTTGACCCTGCTGATCCAGCTTCTTGCTCGATCTTCATCTCTGTCTCGTCCGGAAAACTCTTCAGATCTGCGATCGCCGATACCCGGATTTGCTGCTCAATGAATCCACCATTTGGCGTAGCTTCCGCTGCTGCCACCAATGGTCGCCTTGAGTCTTCCAGTCCCAGATCAAGCGGATCGCAATTATTTGATCGACTATGACGCGATCCAACCGACATCTGGAACATTTCTTTCCTGAGGAGTGGTCTGAATCCTTGATCGATTAGCATTTTGCTGGGCTAAGATCCGTTGATCTTCCTCGTACTTTCTCATGGCGGCTTCGAAATATGAATTCAGCTGCCCTGATCCAATCAGATTTGCTTGTTGAGCCATGGGCGCATTTGTCGATCGTACTTCAGTCTTGATTGGCACCGTTCGTCCACGGATGAATGCTGCGCATTACGGTCCCAGTGACATACGCTGAATGGAGATTGACTTCTCTGAATCCTCTGCCTCTGATTCTGATGACGCATACTGAGACGATCCAGTCTGGTATGCTTTGGCGGTCGGCGTGATCGCCTGATCAGTCATATGTCGTCTTCATGGTCCTCGTGCAAAGCCGAAGCAGCAATTGTCTGAAACGCTTCTTCCACACTCGTCGCTTCTTTCGCACTTGTTTCATAGTACTGAATCGGCTAATCAATTTTGCCGTAAAGAATGCGTCAACACCAATCATGCAATTGCAGCATTGTCATATCCACTCACCTGTTAGACAATTTTTCCACGGCACCACTCGTGCGCCTTCTCCTTGAGAACCTGCACCACGATTTTAATAAGTCATTCAACAGCCACAATTCCTAGACCCTCGGCCCAAGTCAATTATTTCTCCTCACTCTTCGTTCCGACTCCTAGTTCACCTTGTTATCCAGTACAATAAACTAAAAGGCATCCGAGTCTCTTGGTTCTGTCTGTGCCAAGAACTTGTCTCGCCACGTGTCCAACTTCTTAAAAGACTACAATAAAGCGATAGAAAAGTCAGCCTTCTGCAGCCTCACTACTACATCTTCACTGTTATTAATTTGCCTTGGGGTTGGTAATGTCATAGACCAGCACGCATGCATCAGCTCCACGGTAAAAGGCGACACCTAGACTCTGGAATCGCTCCTGACCCGCCGTGTTCCAGATTTGCATCGTCACCAGTTTGTCGTCCAGCATGGTCTCCTTGGTAAGAAAGTCGGCACCAATCGTGACCTTGTATTGACAACTAAAGTTTTTATTCACATACTGGTTCATAAGCGACACTTCCCCACGCTAAATGATAACACATAAAATGTAGTATTTCGTGACGTTTTATTCACTTTCGAGACTTTAATTCTGTAGCCACATTAAGAGAGTTAACGCACCCACTATCTATTGAATTGGAGAGACTTGTGCACGAGAGAGAAATTTAGAGAGTAAGTAATATATATATTTCTGAACATAGCAACTCGCATTTGAACCTACTTCCTGTTGGTTCACACGACTGTTGCCTAGAGTCATCCGGCAGTGTAACTGCTCACGCGACTGCTCCCAGGAGTCAGCCAGCTCAGCGACTATTCACCAAGATTTCCAACACTCCTTCCCGACAAATGGGAGAGTCAGGAAACAGAAGTTTGTACTTACTTGATTCCCACCTTCAGCCGCAATACAAGCACCCGTGGCGCTGGCAGTGCCTTGGTCAGAAGATCGGCTAGCATGTCGTGTGACTTTACGAAGCTTGGCTTGACGACTTCTTTCGTAGCATAATCCCGCAGAAACTTGAGCTTCACATCCACATGTTTTGCACTTGCCGAGCTGGCCTTATTTTCAATTTGTTTAATAGCGGCTTGATTTTCCATAGCTAGAACAATTGGCGTCTTTACTTGCAATCCTAGCTCAGAGAATAGTTCTTTAGGCCGAGCACCTCTTGACCTCCTGCAGCTGCAGCGACGAACTCTGCTTCCGCAGTCGAGACGGCAACCGCCGATTGTTTTTTGCAGTGCTATCCGATATTCGCACCATTAACCATGATTACTGCCGCGCTCACAGACTTACGGTCTTTACAATCTCCAGCAAAGTCTGCATCCGTGAAGCAGGTGATGCGGACTGGGATCAAATTTCCTTCATCCACACGCAGGTGCAATTTAAGGGATCGAGTGCCAATTAGGTACTGAGCAATACGTTTGGCCAATCTCCAGTCTTGTATTGTCGGTGCATGGCATTGTCGTGTGGCCCTATGCACCGCAAAGCCGATATCAGGTCGCGTGCACCGGGCTACCCAGAGTAGACTCCCGATCAATGACTGAAATTCTCTTATGCTTGGTAGTCCAGCTTTGCCACTCGATATCACCGTAGAGCCACTGCTCCTTCCAGACTTGGCTCTTCATCTCCAATCGGCGATCGTACCGCGTTTTCGTTTTCAATTCCGTAACGTGTGAGCGTCTCAGCAATTGTTCTCTCCTGGTTCAATGCATAGCCTGGTCCGTCCGGCTCCACTTGCATGCCAACAAACTTGGCCGCCTCCCCCAGGTCCTTCATCTCTAGCACCTGCATGTCATCAAAGAACGCATCCACGCGACCAGTACTTGTCGCGGTCACCAGTAAATCGTCGACGTATGTTCCAATCACTGTCGTTTCACCTAAGTAAAATATACACGTACCGTGATACATTGCACAAAATTTAGCTCGAGGAGTGTCTTTCTAAGCAGTTGGTGCCAAAGGCTCTCGGCTTGTTTTAGCCCATATAAGCTTCCCTTAAGACGCAACGCAACTTCCTTCACGCTTGACACGCCCAGCTTTTGCAACAAACTTGACGGTACTCTCATGCCGTCGGGCACATATAGTAAAATGTCGTACTCTTCTTCGGTCATCGCTTTGACGTAGGCCGCTGGCACGTCTCCGTGCCTATCGCGTACACCACAAATTATCGAAAGAATTAAAATTACTCTGATGTTCCCTATTTTCATCACTGCAGCAAAAGTGAGGACAAAGTCAACCCCAAGTAGTTGCTCATTTCCACAAGCAACAAGACGCGCTTTAAACTTTTCAACTTGGCCGTCACCACGTCGTTTTTTTTCTTGTAAACCCACTTCGTGTGGAGCCGCTTGGCATCAGGCTCACACTTGATCAGCGTCCACTTCTCATTTTCTTCCAACGACCGCAGTTCTTCAACTTCTGCCTGCTCCCAAAGGTCACTGTGGGGGTCACGCCGGGCCTCTTTATAATACTTAGGGTCTGGCCCGTATTCAACTTCTGGTGCGGTCGGTGTATTCGCGGATTCTTCGACCACTGCTAGAACCATCAGACGAGGCTCTAATTCAGGAGAAAGCACTTTCTCTTCAACCTCGTCTGCCTCAATCTGTCGACTCGACTTCTCCTTTATGCGCATAGATCGTCTAAGCTTGGAACCCTCTGCAGTTTTCTTGGCATTTTGCGCGCCTTGCAAGCCGTCCAATCCTCCTTTGGGAACTGCGCTGCTGTCATGAGCATCATCACCGCCTGCTACAACAGTAGAATACCCGTTCTTTGTTCTCTGCAGCTCATCGTCGCCTAACGTTTCGAGCACCTGTCGAATTTTCTCGCTAGCAGCAGTTCCTAGCGTCTCGATTGCGCTGATGTGGCGCGTGGTCGTCACCTTTCGATCTTTTGATAGTAAAACCTTGTAACCTTTAGTTTCGTCATTTTTTCAAATGATATATTCTCTCACCGCGTGTCGCTCAGAATTCTTCTTCTTCGTATTACGAAAGACCATGCATGGCGACCCGAACACTACGATGTCGGTCAGGTCTGGAACTTGTCCAGTCAAAAGCTCGAGGGTTGACGCCCTATTCGCGTTCGCACGCGTTTAGCTGCGGTTCAAAATGTACGTAGCGTAGTCAGCTGCATCGCTCCAAAATGTGAGAGCAATTCCTGAGCCGAAGATCATGCATCGAACCATGTTCATTATAGTTCAGTGTATACGCTCAGCTTTTCCGTTGCTGGCTTGATTTGCAGCTTCACTCACTTGACGAGCTACTCCTTGTCGATTACAAAGCAAGTTCACGTTAGCGTATTCACCTCCGCCATCAGTGCGGATGACATGCACGCGACAGTAGAAACGTTTCTCGAAAAATACGAGAAAGTGATTAAACTTTTTGGCAGCTTTATCTTTTGTTTTTCATGCAAACACACGCACGCAATTTTTCTTGTGATCCACGAAGTTGACCATATAGCGATTTCCGTGTCGATCGAGCGGCGTGTATGGGCCCTTTCAAGTCGCTGCAAATTACACCGCCTACGCGGTCGATTGTCGAGTTCTTTCCTGAATCTCGCTGTGGCTGTCGTGACTTGGTGGCTTTTCCTTCGGCGCAGATTTGACAATGCACGCTCCTGAGGTCCGTAAGCCTGATCTCGACTCGGGCTCGCGGGCCATACGCTCGATGGTATCGAAAGACAAGTGGCCAAATCGAATGTGAAAATCCATTAGGGTTCCTTCTTGATATTTCGATGCAAGTGGCTGTCCGACGACTGCATTCATCACTATTTCTGAAAATGTCTTTTCTGTTACCGAAGGGAGCAAAGTTTTGCCACCAGCACGTTTGCTTCTAATTTTAGGTAAAATACCACTATAGAGGGTGAGACCTTTGCAATAATCATGCTTCCATGACGCGATTCAATGCGGCATCCTTGCTTAGCCGATATCCCAAACAATATTAAATTACGCGATAGAAGCGGCGCAAAATACAAGTTGCTCAGATTAAGCTCGAACTCCTTCCCTTCGGCAATACCGTTAAGCGTCACAGTGCCCTTCTTTGTAACTTGGAGCCGTTCGCCGTTTGGAAGGAGTAGCCAGTTGGTCTTGTTACAGTCCACGGCGTGTTCCAGCATCGAGACGTCGCGAGCCAAGTGTCTACTTGCACCGCTGTTCAAGGTCCAATGATCCAAATTCACAGCGTTCCGATGCGCTGCAAGCTCCCAGCGAGTCTTCTCACCGGAAATGACGCTGTCTTTCTTTTTCTTGGCTTTGCACTCTCTGGCTATGTGGCCGAGTTTTCCGCACGCAAAACATTTTTTTGACTCACCCACTGCATTTACGACGCCCTTTACGTGATTCCTTATCGGGCGAGCATCATCCTCAATCTCTTGCGCCCATACCACGAGTTCTTGTGCATCGTGAAGATAGTCAGTGCGACCTGGATCATATCGTCCCTTGATCGCAACCTTCATGTGTGGCGCAGCGTACTTCACAACTCTTTCAAGTACCAGTTTTTCGCTGGTCTCAATCAAATGCATGAGAGCCGTGAGGTATAACAGGTGCTCGGTCCACGATCGCGAGCTGCTCTTTTTTGCCCGTACAGATGCACAGCTTGGTGATGGGAAATGTTCACCTTAAAAGCGAGCCACAGCTGCTCGAGCAAATATGCGATACTTTGGCTACGCATCCACCATCCTTCAATGTGTGCTTGATGATACTGCAAGGCCGTTTCCTCCAGAGCTTGTTCGCCTTAACTCGTTCTGTCCATTTGTACCCGCACCCGAGCTCAGCCATCTCAATGGCCTCAATGAATAGTAGTGCCCACTGACGAAATCCACTTTCCAGTCCTTTGTATTGCTCCACTTCGCTGAACATTCCGATCATCAACTTTGAGTCTCGAGCGTTGGGCACGCGATGTCCATTAAGACCCGAGGGTCTGCGTACGGCCTTGGGGGCGGTGCTTCTTGATGATGCGCCTGAGCTTGATACGCTGCTTGCGCTTGGGCTGCCGCTTGTGCTTCCATCGCGGCTTGTGCCTCCGCCGCACCTTGATTAACCCGCGCCTGTGCTTCGACGCGCCTGTAAAAGCTCCCAGCCCCAAACGGTCCCATACCGGACAGTTTGTCGATCTGCATCGGCGTACGCCCTAGCGCGCTGCCGCCATCTATTGCGCGACGAAAATCGCTTCCAGCGAATGCCGCTTGCACCACGTTGCGCCCATCCGTTCGTCGCCCAGGTTGTGCATGTTGCATGCGTGGCGAGACAGGCGAAGCGTTTGACACGCTTACACTAGCTCTTTCAATAGTGTCTATGCGTGTCTCCAACCGCGTGAGTGCTGCGAGCACGCGCTCCATGTTGGACAGTGACGTCTCCTGGTCAGCGTCGCTCCTTTCGCGAGCGACCCCTCCGGTCGGGGGTGTTCGTACCTCGCCGAGAGAATGCTCAGACCCGTCGCTTGGGCTTATAACCTATTGAAAGGGAGAAACTTGTGCACGAGAGAGAAATTTAGAGAGTAAGTAATATATATATTTCTGAACATAGCAACTCGCATTTGAACCTACTTTCTGTTGGTTCACACGACTGTTGCCTAGAGTCATCCGGCAGTGTAACTGCTCACGCGACTGCTCCCAGGATTCGGCCAGCTCAGCGACTGTTCACCAAGATTTTCAACACTTATCACCCAAAATGATCACCCTAAGCAAAACTCTTTTGCGGTGTGACATGTTAATTGAGCAATGGATCGAGTGTCACGTATAAAAAGAGAGTATACCTTTGATTTACTGTCTCCAGACCTTCGTTTTACCGTCTCTAGACCTTTGTTTTACTGTCTCTAGACCTTGATTTTAGTAAGAAAAGGTGTGATGTAGAGAGAATCTTCCACATGCATTTCAGCCAATCAAAAAAGCAAGATTGAATAGAGATGGCTACGTTTGACATGCTCATTAAAGTTGCCTGAGATGGCTACATCTTTTGTAACGCAATATGTGACATGCTATACACCAAGTCGCTAACTTATAGTAGTCGCCGAGTTGGAGCTCCGAAATGAAATTGACAGACGGCAGCATTGCGAGTGGTCGGCGTACTCAGCGTTGTAGAAGTTGACGTGCTTGGATCACGATTGGCCACCTCCGTTTTAATTCGATTGAGCTCCAACATCACCACTGGATCACAATTCATTTCGTTCGCCAAACAAATTGTCTTTTGTACCGCCTCCAAATCGCTCACAGGCTGGCGACCAGGGGCGGTCATAGCACCATGTGACAACCACGAATCATCCAGTGAGCCAGGGTACCCCTGATCAAAACCAGGGTAATTGCTCAGTACACTGCTGGCATTGTTGCTGTTGCGGCGGGGTGCAGTTGGACTGGATGAGAATGCCTGCATGTCGACTGGTGTCAAGCTATCTGAATTTGTAGACTCTTGCACTATCGTATGGCGGGTCAGGTCGTCCGAGCTCAATTGTATACCAATCGTACCTTGAGCGGCATGCAGCGCCGAGTCAGCAAAATCTGCATCTGTCAGGTTTTCGTCGGACACCTTCTCAGAACTAGGTGCCACGACCTCAATCAGCCGCATGGGACTGACTAGCTTTAAACGCTTCAACAGCACTTGAATCTGCGCATCAAGTTTATCATCAATACGGTCGTCCGGGGCAACTGCAGCTCCTGTCTCGGTAGTAAACATCACGCCCACGTGCGCGAAGCTAGCAATGATGCGTGACCGCGGAATTTGCTGCCAACCTTGTACCACCCACTCTACAACCTTTTGCAATGGAATATCGTAGATATCAAGCTGACCTTCCTCTCGCCGGTCAAGCGCGTAGTCTAAGAGCTGGTAGCGGTAACGGCGCTTGACAGCAGCCACAACGCCCATTTCTAAAGTTCGAACACAGAGCTCTCCAGCGTGGTTGCGTTCCACAAAATGCATCTTTACATTCGACAACGACGCTTTTTGCACGCACATGGCAGCTACTGAGTCAACAATAAGCACAATATTGCGGTTAGTAACACGCATGCGCCAATCCAGCGCCATGAGCCAGTCTCGTAGCATCGTCGGCGGCATCCAGGCTTTATGATTGCAGGCAAATTGATACGGCCGTTCTTCCGCCTTTTGGTTCGAATCCATCGACAACGGGTGAGGTCCCACAAAAAACGGGTTAAGCCTATCACTGCCGTCTGCGTTAAGTGCCAATAGCATTGTCAACTTTTTTTCCGGATGATGATTAGATGGTAACGCTTGCCTGTCCGGACTCATCGCGTAAAACAGCCGCGTCTCATGCAGCCAGTAGACATTTTCCGGCGGCACACCCGCCACTGCCGCCTTGATATGGTCCGGCGTGGAGATCACCGACGTTTCCGGTGTCAATTTTGGTTTACCGTCCGCTTCTTCATGTTGCGTTCGTCCTTTGCTGCCTTTGCCTCCTCCTAAAGAGAATCCATGCCTTCCCATGAATGAATGCATCCAGCCATTGGAAAATTGAGGCGGAGAACATGTGACACTTTCAGGTAGCTGCGGGGCTAGGAGCTCATAGAATATGCGCGCTTTGTGACGTACGAGATCTCCTGGTAATTTGAGTCGTCTTGCTTGGCAGTAGAGGAACCAATTGGCCAGCGCCGAGTCCACCTCGGGACATTTGACGGTGCGCAGCTTCTTGTAGTCACGACCTTCACCGGACACGAGTTCGAATTGCGTGCGTTTCTTGAGCATGTAGCTCATGGCGGCCTGTGATGGCACATAGTCGAGATTGAACTGCTCTTTAGCCCATTGACCCAATTGTGTTTGGGTGGTCTTGGGAAACTGTCGTGCGTGTAGACAGATGAGGCGCTTTTGCTCATGCGTGAGGTTTGTACTACGCGCCTTGGGCCGTGCCATGCGTAACCAGGCTCTGTCGTAGCCACTAACTAAACCGCCGTGACTGAGAAAACTACAGAGCTTCAGTATTGATGTTTGAACAAGCCCCGATCTTGTGAGCATGTGGACCACATGTCCAAGATTATTACTGCCTCAGTGTATTATCTGTAAAATGGCGCTACTTGGCTATCGTTAGTATGGTCTTCTACATGCTCGTCTAACACGTTGGCCGTTGCGTCGTTCACGGCCCATTTCCAGGCTCTATGCTACCCAGAGTAATTCTGCCATGCGTTGAATACCGTCATGTCAAATTGCATCTGCTGGTCTGTATATACGTCACTACAGAATCGCAACATCCGTGCAATCTCGCCTCTTGACGTGCCGCCGCACTACAAGCCATGCCATTTTCTTTGGTAACATCTGACTGCATGTTTTACACCACATAATCTTGATGCGTCGTGATTCCACACCGAAGACATCATGCTCGAAGACGTGCATCGTTAGAATAATGGTCGCACGTTGACGCAGCATGTATCCATATGGTCTCGCTGATTTGCTCCGCTTTCCAAGAAATGGTCTTTGTGGCATCGGGCAGCAGCGATGATTGGTTCAATGTAGCGCGTCACTTACTGCTTTGGCTTGCTGACTTGCACTGATACCGAAACGGCTGTAAAAACGCTTGACCAACAATGGCGAAACAGCGTAGGAGCCGATCCAGCGCTCACTCGGTGGATCTTATAGCAACCCATCTCACAACAGCGCAAAGTTCGTGTGAACACTGACTGTTACGGCCATCCTCACAGTGCTATCTATCTATCTACTGGATGTGAAAGCCGATACCGACACTCAAACGTTGTTACTATGTGAGGCATAGTACACGTCTTGAGAGCCTTGCGCAAAGCTTTTAATGCTTTTGTTGCCTCGCAACAGCGAGTTTGGAAAACTCAGGTCCGTGTTTTTGTTCGATAAATCGCTTGACCAATCCACACATATCTGAAACTGCCCCGTTGCTGTAATGGTATCAGATGGCGGTCCTTGATTGGACGGTCTCCGTTAAAATAGCGACTCTTCACGAGACACCGTCACTCGAGCGACAGGGCGTACAAAACACCGACAAGATGGGATAAGGCAAAGTGCTCGAAGTTAGAGCGAATTCAATTACATAGTGAATGCAAGAGAATCGACAAACAGCAGGGGAAAAGATCGCTACTGGCCTCGACCGTCACTTTTCTTTTTACCGTGTCCCCAAGACTTACGGTTTTTTTCCGCCTCTCTCTCCCCTTAATTAATTGAATACAACCATATATCATCACATGGTGATCCAAACGAGTTATTCGAATACGGGGAGGAGAGTGCAAGCGATGCCCAGTCTTGACAAAAATCATTTAAGCTATATGGACTGTCATTGGCGGCACTGTAGCACGTCACAAGACGCGCGATCTGACACTTCGGTTCGTACTATGGATGAGGCTGTAGACCTTGAAGTGCTAGCCTACATGGCTGCCACAGAGTACTTTGCTTATGACGAGTGCTACGACAACACTTCAAACGTATCTGGCCTGCCACTCGTATGCAGCAACTGCGGTGTGTCCTTCTTCTCGCTGCAGATTCCTGATGATCAGGTCGACTGCTATTGCTCTGGCGAGTGCAAGTGGAGTGTCATCATGTACCGCGAAATGAATCTGCGTATGTTTGCCATGCGCCGATCCACGCGTCTTCACACGCCTCTTGGCAGTACGTGCTCGTCCTCGAGTTTCTATGGAGACAGCGACGATGAGGAGACGGAACTAGACGGACTCGTGTCTTTCAGCTTCAGTGACAACACGACTGCCAGGTCGTTGTGATCGCAGCCGTGGAGTATTTACTATTTAAGGTGCCACAGCACTGCGAGACAGAAAAGAAAAGGGGAGAGAGTGTAGTAGTTCATTAACTGCATGTAGTTTACAATAGTGGTGTGTATAAACAATCTACATGAACGGATTGTATTTTACTTTGTTGCGTAGAGTCAGTTTGACCCTTTCCAGTTATCAGAAGTCGCTGCTGGACGTGTGCCGACCTGCTCGTCGTCGAGAAGTATTGCCAAGCATATCTATAGTAAATACATTTCTATCTGGCATCTTCATGTATGATCACTTCATCGATATCGGGAGCATGTGCATAAATCCACTTTTTTGCCAACTGATTGTCTTTATTTCGCCTTTGCAACAGGTTTAAAGGCGTTACTTATCGTGCTTGCCAGGAAGGATTTACCCTTTTAATCTTCTCACGACCACTTTGCGTCATAGTAGCAAACTTACTCATCGTCATCATCGTCGTCATCAGCCATCTCATCCTCCTTAATAGACTGGACGGCCCACTCGTTCACCTCGTCGCGCAAGTTGTCCGGCACCAGATGATGTTGCCAGTTCGTCTCTTCGCAGACCCAACTTAGCTCCAGCTCGAATGGGTGACGCACCTCATCGTGCAGCGTGATGAGACTGCCCAAAACAAACATTCATCAGCAAAAAAATCACCCAGAAAATAGCTCCGAAAAGACCTGCACCTACATCTTGGCAACGTATTTCATGGCTTCACGGCACGTCATGTCAAAAAGTTTGTACTTTTCAATTTCTGTCTTGGCCGACTGTTGGCCCTTGCCCAAAGCACAACCCCGATAGCTCTGCAAATGTCACGACCACATCAGCTTCTCGTCAGCAAATGAATGACCAAAAAAGCAAAAACTGCTCCCTTTGCATTTGTAAACGTACGTAGGTGACTCCCGAAGGTTCTACCATGTAGAGACTGGACTTTTTCGTGTCCTCATCGTAGCCAGCAAGCATAACAGCTGTGCCAAAAGGCCGGATGGAGCCATATAGCGTGAAGTAGTGTACAAACTGACCCATGCGCTCTGCTAGCAAGTGGGGTGGGATACCAGAGCCGTAATTCTTCTTGTAGTTAAGCGCCTCCTCGCGCGCGCGGTTCACGAGCTGACGACCATCAGCCACAAGTCCCGCCATAGACAGACCGACGTGACGGTCAATGGCGTAGACTCGACGGTGCGTACCAGGCACCAGCATCTTACTCAATAGCGTCTTCTCTACTCCCATGATGATACCGTCCGTACACTTGATACCGATTGTTGTGCTATAGAACATTAAGAGTAAAATGATACGTAAGTAAAGAGGATAAAATGCAATGGATAGAGATAGAGATTAACTATTCGATCTTTCAGTACCCGCTGTTCTCAACGGCTTTCTTGGCGTATTCGACCTGAAAAATGCGGCCTTCAGGTGAGAACGTACCCGCCGAGTAATCATATCCGGCACCGGTACTACTCATACTAATTTGTTGTGATTTACGAGCTTGGGGGCGGAGTACAAAGGTTTACTGCCGCGATACAGAGAAACGATCTTCGTCGCTTTTACCGTTTTTCCTTAGCAAATATCCCCCCCCCCCCCCATTGTATTTGAGGTTGCGTGAAGGTAACTCGAATGGAACGAGAATGTTGATTCGAATATGTAATGTACTGAAAGCAGTTAATTTGACGACGCATGTATGAAATATGGGTTTGCTGTTAGACTCAGTGGATTTACTGCTACATGAAGCTGCCATGTCGTTCTTGTATGAGCCACACGTCATCAATCACATGACCATAGAGCCCACGTGCTGCTGGATTCTCGGGGTCTGCTTCGACCTGCTGCCAATGCAAATGTGTGGCATTTACGACCTCCATGCGCGAGTATCCAAAGATGGAATTGCGGAAGGCGTTCCAGACCTCACTGGGTCTCTCAAAAGCTTTTCTCATAATAGACGTCAAGTACTGACCCGACGCCCCAGTGAGAATGTGCGTCGTAGCACGCATATTGTGGGTGCGCTTCCATGTATGTGACTTGTACACATCAAAAGCTCGCTCGTAGTTGTGCTGGTGTCCGCAAAGGTAAAGGTCAACTCCGTGCATGTACAGCTTGTCTTCCAGCTTATTCCGTAGCATTGCAGCTTTGTCCCCGCAGTTGGTACTGTCAGAGGTGCAGTACATGGGACGATGTCCTATCACCACAAGCCAAGGCGTTTGCTCCCGATTCGTATTGGCTCTGGCAAGATCTTGCTCCAGCCAGGCTTCTTGCCGTGCGATCACGTCTCCATCTACATCCAGGGTTTTTTTAAAGTAGATCTCTGTTGAGATAACCGTAAAGTGCACGAGCCCTACATCGTAGGAATAAAACCAGTTGTTTGGCACCTCCTTGGGCTCTGCATCTCGTAATCGTCCGCCAACGTGTACGCTCTGTACGCCTTCGATTTCATTGCTCGGCATAAGGCAAAAGCGTTGCGAGTAGTGGCTGAATGTGTTGTGTTGTTCGTGATTTCCTGGGCACACCATGAACGGTACACTAGCAGCCATCGGTTCGATCTGCTGCATGAAAATATCTCCAACGTGACCATTTACCAGATGCAGATCATAGGCGTAGTCTCCAACAGACACAATGCCATCCACAGCTCCTTCGGCAACCTCAGACTGCATCATCGGCAAAGTGGCTGCATTCTGATAGCCAATATCCCCCGTGACCAGGAATCGCGTGGACTTGATAGGGTTCTCTCCAGGAAGCAGTGGGGCTGGTGCAGTTTTGGTAGCAAATGGAATTGACCACGATTCGTAATGTGCATTGCCAACAACGTAGGTGTACCTCATGTCCGGCTTTAGCCCCTGTAGTCTTACGACATGCATCCAGCCCTTATTCTGCTCCGCGCCATTATCTTCAAACAACGTCGTGTTGGCCCAGGCCGTCACGGGGGTCGCATTCGGTCCGTCAACCTCAATGTGAGTAAGATATCCTTCCTTTAGCTGCAATTGGGCGTCGCCTTCTCCGCAAAACTCTGTGGTCATCCACTGCACAGCCAAGCTACCAGGCTTCAAGCCGTACGCCGTGTGCACATTTTTAGGACGGCATTGCTCCGATTCATCTCCATGATATGGGATAATGGCACCAAGTCGATGGACCGCCGACCAGCCGTGGAAAACAGAACCGACTATGAATTCGTACGCCGCGTTCTGCATTACCTCTGGAAGTTCAAAGTGCGCTGTGTATGTGGTGAACGCCGAATTGTCGGTATTGGACGCAGTAGCTGCCTTCCTGACAAAAGGTTCCTCACTCTCGTCGCTGACCAGCATTGTGTCGTTGTCTCCCAGACGACGGTAGCGCACTTCAACATCAGCGGTCAAATCGTGACAAGATCGCCATGGATTGGCGAGACCGGGGCTGTTGTCATCTGCCTTCTGCAACTTTACCGTGGGAATGTTAGTGTGTCGCGTAGACCACTCTACCATTACCTCTTTGTCCACAAAAGACGAGCGGATATCGTACGGCATGCAGTTCTCCACCTCGCACTTGTCGTCGACATCTTCGGGCTTCCGCTCGCGCGCTGCAATAGCAGAGGACGAGCGAGGAGCGTACGTAGTCACACTTATAACTAATAATGTAAGCAGCAATAGCACCGGCAGTAGTGAGGCGATACGTGACCAATTACTATGCTTGAAAACTGCTGCACCGGAGATTGGAGGCTCAGGACATGGCTCCACGACGATGGAGTAGTACTGGTTTGCAGGACGACTGTTCTTGATGAAGGACGCGGTAGTTTGGTGCTTAGCAGGCGGCATTTTTCAGAATGAAACGCACTGCCATGAAACGAAATCCCCGTGCAACAACAACACAGGGTTGTAGAGGCAGCATAGCGCAAGTAAGGAGCTTCCTTTCATACGAGAAGGAATACCTGAAATTTTTCGTTGCCGGTAAGCCGAGATGTTGAAATTGAGATCGGCACTCTCACAACTGCGTGAGATGCTAGGTGGACAATACTACCGCCATCTACTCTGCCGTTGACATTTAGTATGCCATCTGGTAGTGGGTGACCATCACACAGAAGGTGAGCTCGAAATGGTTTACATCGGATAGTGCAATTTTTTGTAGTTCAACCCGACTGTATATCTCCCATATGAGCTAAAGATCGGTGCCAAAACACACGATGCCTTGCAATCGTTGAAAGGGTGAGGTTTAAAGGAAGCACCAGCATTGAAGATGAGCTAAGGAGAGCAATTGAAGTGAATACATATATGCGTCCGTATTAAGATTTAACACCGCGATGTCACGGTTGCTCGTTAGCTTAACATTGACAACATCTTTGACCTTGCCACTATTACCGTATCCCCATACCTAGTTTGTGCCTCTGAATCCTGCGGTAGAATTCTTAACTTAAGGTTGCAATTGTTTTGCGACCAAGCATGTACTTGAAGTCACTCGATCTCTAAATTTGATCGACTAGCCATGCACTCTTAATTCGATGGCTGCTATGATGGCGACCTTCGCTTCCTAGTTTCATGAAGACAACATCACTTTGCCGTCACATACTGGCTGTATTCATCTTTAACGACTCGACCATTTGGCACTGAGACACTTAGCTCTTCCAGCTTTTCGAGGTATTTAGCATCACGCTTCCTAGACATACACACGTATTCCTGCGCAACAGCCAGTGCGAAGTGCGCTCGGTAGACATCAACACTTTGCCGTCCGCGTTATCAACCGTCTCTCCAGTCGCGAATCTTCTTGCCAAGTCATTGTTTGTACATCAGCTTTACAGCTGCAGCTCACATGACTCCAGACGCATTTTTCTATTTTTGTGTCCATCATTACATTCGGTGTTTCCAATTTACCATCGTGCACTGATCGGGCATCTTGAGCAAGATTTGGTTTGCAAAGGCTGTAGACACTGCAACCCATCTGCCGATAGATGTTGATTGTCTTTCGTCAAGCAGAGGCGATGCATCATTCTAATCCTGTTGCATGTCAAAGTAAAGATCGAGTCCAAACCGGCAGACGCAACGTAGCTTAAATTCACCTCAAAGCATTCTTTGCGAGTAACATACCCGCACATGCACTTAGATATGACCACAGAATGCGAAATAAAGAACACTAACGTTCGTTACGCTTCACCTAATCGTAAACATGTCGTATCACCGCGCAATGGTGCGGAGAGCTAGCCAATACTACAATAGTTGGCTGCAACCTTATACGATAAGATCTCATGATTCTCTCGAGATCATCAGACGCTAAGACAGCCTACATTCGTCACAATTTGCCACCGAAGCTTGAAAACAGCTTCACGGTTGCAGCTAGTTTGGTGCTCTTGACTATTCTGCTAGGATATGTCATGCTTGACGTACTTCGATACGAGGAGATGGCCAGCTTGGCGGGTCAAAGACTTCTGTTTTGACACGAAGAATCCATTCTCCGTTGAAAGCTTCAAGCGACAATGATTTGGACCCGTTGACTTTTCTTCATGTACAACGGATCATGAGCACTTGACTACATGTAAACACTAAATCGACATGTCGACCCACAAAGCACCCAAGAAAAGCTGAACGAGACTTAGAATAACCGGCCAAACGTAGCGTGGAGAGCGAAATCCGCGAAACCTTCAATACGCGCGAGCAGGATGTCGATTAAGTCAGTAATGATCAAGCTCGATATCGCTCTCTTCTAATTTTTCACTTCAGGCGCAGAGTGGTTCTTAAAGCTCAGCTTTTGTCAACTCTAGTGCCTACGTTTGCTAACAAATGTTCTCGCAGCACAATCTACGATTCGAGACACGTAGTACCTGTTCTCCAGGCGTATTGTACGCAAGCCGATCCGATTGGAGTTTGACATTGTACATTGGGTTTTAGTTTCCGACGTCATCGTCACAAAATGTACAAGATCAAGTTGAATTTTCTACTATAACTTAAGACCTCATCGCGATCAAATCATGACATGGTGTCACTTGTTGTCTATCCTTTATCCAGTATGGAAAATGTTGAAGTTGTCTTCTGTGCTTTTCACCCCTTTCTAAATCGATACCCACAACTTTAACAGGTCTTTACTACGTAGCGTCATTTTCGTTCCTTCTGCCGTAGTTTTTACGTCGTCGGTGGGTCTTTTTCACCCGCACTTATCTGCATACATTAGCCAAGTCTTCTGGCCATCTCTCGGCGTATCTGTCGTCTCCAAACGCGACTGGAAACTCACAGTCCACGTATTTGAAACTTAGTCGAGACAGGTGGATCGATCGTGACCAGACCAAGTGACTCTTCAAGCGTCTTCCCGTTAATGAACACGTCACTCGAACCTGTAGTTGAACCCCTTGCGACCGATGAAGACGCTCATCTGTCTCTCAAGGTGCGGACGCTGGACCAAAAGACGTATTCAATTACCATCTGTGCGGCCGCGTCTGTGCCAGAGCTCAAGGAACTTGTGGCCGTTGAAACGGGCATCACGTTGGCCCGTCAACGACTCATTTATCGCGGACGTGTGCTCAAGAATGACCAGACGCTGGCTTCGTATTCACTGGAAGACGGCCATGTGCTGCATTTAGTCGTACGTGCTGTGCCTCCTCCTCCACTTGCGGACGCTGCTTCGACTGATAATCACGGACCGGCCATTACTCTAGACGCAGAGCAAAATGATGGTCCTACTAGCCGGGATCCTTCTCCACCTTTGTATTCAGCGTCACACTTGGACGCATTAAATGAAGTTGACGCGTTGAACGCCCAGCTGGACGAGTTCCAGAGAACGACTTTCCGATCAAGGGCAAGGTCACGACAGCTTCAGGACCGCACGCATTCACCACAGTCGCCTCCATCTACAAGAGATAACGACGAACCGGATCCGACCATGGGACGGTCAGGTGCGGTACAGCCTGGCCGCGTGCTCATGGGTGCGACCATCGCGGTACCAGAGGGCACGGGCGTCACTATGCCCTTTCTTAGCTCTTTGGTTAGCAACCTCATCACGCAGGTCCGTGAAACTGGGGGTGGAATGGAAGCAGAAGGGGCAACGACGGGGACAACTGCAGATGGACAACACCATGTGACGTTTTTAAGGGAAGTTCCGGGCGGCACCACTGCTGCTGAAATGGATGCAGCTACTGCACGAGCTACACGAGCATTTCGTCATCCCCACCGGTATCGTGATGATTCGGGTCGCCAACGCGCAGCGCGACGTTCTTCTTCAGGTGTTGAGCGTCAAGCTGCTTTGCGCGCTCGTATTGGGCTTCGACTCGAGGCAGTGCGTGCGACGCTGGACAATGCGTCTCTTGAATTTCCCACCCAGCTTTCAGCACTACCGCAAGGAGACAACACTGCCATGTCAGAACTTCAGCAGCAGGTGGAAATGCTGTTAACCCTTCTGGAGCGTTTTGGACCGCGTCTGCGACTTCTGCCTGCTGCGCTCAGTCAGCGAGACCATTTGAGCGGGCGAGTTGCTACCGCATCGGTCGGAACTACTACTGTCTCAACCTACCACCCTTCAGCTATAGTATCGAACGGGTCCAGTGGAGCATCAGCCGAGGCTAATACACCATTAATCGGACCTAGTACAGCATCAGTAGATTCCAGTACAGCGTCGACTGGGCCCAGTTCTGCAGCAGCCGGGTCCAATAATTTAGCAGCCGAGCTCGTGACTGCGTCAATCGGGCCTAATGCTACACCAGCTGAGTCGGGTTCTGGTAGCACAACCACCAGTGATAATGCTGTCGCCGCTGGGGCAACGTTATCGGGGCGTCAGATTATTTGTATCATCGAGGCGCTGCAAACTATCGGAGAATCCACCGAGTTGCTGGCACGCGTGGCACGTCACGCGTTTGTTCGGCAATCTATACAATTGAGCGAACCGATTTCAAGACGAGGAAATGCTGCAACAGCAGGTGACAGAATGCAAGCGAGATTTCATGCTCGTGCACGTCCAGCAAATAGTGCACGTGTAGATACAACGGCCGAGGATAGAACACAAGCGACTCTTGATGCAATGCAAGCCACCCGCACATCGAGAACGGTAGCACCAGGTGCATCCAACATGAGACCACGGGTGAGCCACATCAGCACTACTGAGTCGTTGAATGAACGAAGCTCCGCAACCCCACGAACGGCCAGAGCTTCTTCGGCAGGGCTTCCTGGATTGACACTCAGCTTCCCAGCTGATCTCACTAGCGCAGTGCCACCGCCGGTTCCTGGACCAGTAACTTCAGTGCGCAACAGCCAGCCTATCACTGAAGCTAACGCAGCTCGAAGCGATGGTGACGCCTCATTGCCAACCTCAGGTGCTCACATTTCCATCTCTAATTTAGGTTTACCGCTCGTGCCATCGGTGGTGTTCCCTTTCTCTCTTGCAGCGGATCTCGGTGGTAGCCATGCGACTACAACTTGGAACCTAGCGGACTTTATTAGTCGACTGACGAGTGCGATCCCAATTTCTACTCTGTATGGGGTTATGGCAGGCAACGGCACACATCTGCACCACATACTGGCGCAAATAGGCTTTGCGCTGTTCAGCGGTGTTGATGTCCCGCGGGGAACCCGACCGAGTATCCATACCTGGACGCGGGATCTTGTTGCTGAACTCCGTCGTCTTATGCGCTTACAAGCGTTGCCTGCTGACGTGACGGATCAAGTCAATGGGACTGTGGAGCGGCGCTTGGCTCTTGGGGACGAGCTCTTGCGTGTTGTGGAACCATTTATTCCAAACCTCGTTGACATTCTTGTCCGAGCCACATCGGCAAGCCGGGCTGCCGCATTTGGTACAAGCAGCGCTACTTTTTTGCGTACGATGACTCAGCAGGTTGTTCGTGAACTCCGTTCCTACGCAAGAGGTGATTCGTCGGAATTAGAAAGCGAAAGCGATGAGCGTTTTAAGCGTTTGCTACGAGGGCTACTGGTATGGCTTGGCATGAATGATCATATAGCAAGTTTTGTCGTTGACAGCCTGTTGTGCTGGATTGGAGGAGACAGCACTGTCAGTCGTCGTGGCCACACACACCAACGTGACGAAGCTAGTAGCGATGCAGGTGTTGCCGACTCTCCGGCTACTAAGCGGAAACGTGAGTAGGATTGCAAAGTTGCTGGCAAAACAAGATGGAACTATGGTGCCGTCCATGGAAATGGATAGTAGGAAACAAATGCCGAAATGACTAGCTTGTATTTTTGATGCACTGCAAGACGTTGATATGTTTTGCCTACTTGTGGGTTACGACCTGCTTCTCCTTCCTTTGTAAGCATAGTCGGCATTTACGTTAAGGTCGCCATTGAATACTTTGCCCTTCACTGCAGATTGTCATCGCCGGATTTGGAATTCTCGCTCGACCAAACACGGGCCATGACTTGTCTGCCAACCTAAGTCCAGATTTTCTTCTTTTGGCACACTTTATCTTACTTGAACATATGTACATCATACACAGATGTTTAGACGATACGTCGTCTAAACATAGTGGTCTTTGTTGACCGTTTTAACAAGATGGCTCACTTAGCGGCTGTTCCAGACTCGATCGAATGGTGAAGGTTCAGCGGAACTGTTTAACTGTTTATTGATCGAGTGTTTCGCCAACATGGCTTGCCAGTGGCAATTGTTTCTGACCGTGATCCTCGTTTCACGAGTAGGTTTTGGAAGTCCGTATTCCAGGTGCTAGGCACCCGTTAAACATGTCCACAGCGGATCATCCGCAGACCGATGGTCAAACTGAACGCGTAAAAAAATCACGTTTTTGAAGATATCTTCCGCAGCGTTTGTGCTGAAACGCCTAAGCGTTGTAGCTCTATGCTCCCTGTTGTTGAGTTTGCACTCACTAACTCCGTACACGCCTCTACCGGCTACACTCCGTTCTATGTCAGTGGTCTCACGCTCCACGCCCCACGCGTTCCGTTAACGCTACCACCGAGTGATTTAGGTCTTGATGGGGGAGAGGTTGCCGATCGGCTTGCTGATTGCAGCCCTACTACTGTTAAGAAACAGGTGAACGCGTTTCTCGCAACGCGACTAAATGTCTTACGACATGTGCAAGACTCATTGGTGATAGACAAGACAAACAGAAGGAACATGCGGATGTTAAAGGCAGAAATTGTTTTGATTATTATAATTTTAGGTCGGAGACCATGTCTTACTTAATGCTAAAAATCTACCTACCAATGTAGTGTCTGCTGTCTTTATAACAAAATTGCGTCCGCGCTTCATCGGACCTTTTACGATCGTGGCCAAAAAAGGCACAGCGTAGACATCCCGTGTTCTACGTCGGCATGCTCAAACTGTATCGGGATCCGTCCCAAATGAACACTAAGGCGCTCGCGCCGAGCTCATCGGCATTGCTGCGGGACGCATCATCTGCACCAAAAGGTCAAGTTCGACTTTGCTACAGCGACTCGAGGCGGATATCCATCGTCTGCACAGTCTCACGGAGATATTTCACCTCTTTAAGTAGCTCGACATGAACTTGTGCCGGTACACCGGACCCCTCCGGCATTTCTTGATGAACAGGGTAACTTTCAGCTCCATGTTGAACGTCTACCGTAGAAGCGTCGCCGCCATGGTCAAAACCAGTATCTGGTGAAGTGGTGGGGATATCCCGAGTCGTGGAACTCATGGGAGTTCGAGGTTCCCCTTCGGTCAACAGGTAGGCCAACAGGCCAACCTGTTGGCGATGACGCTTCTCACCAGTAGTGGTGAGGGTAGGCGAGTTTGCGGCCTCGGCCTGTCGTGAACTCGCGGCTACAGGTGTGGTCGAAACATTGGGATGCTGGGCAACAGACGCATATTGCGTTCGTTGAGACTTCACCTTTCCTCGGGCCTTCTGTTTAGCGTAATCGTAACGCATTTTCCGTTCGAGACAAAACATCTGTCACATCGGCACTTGCCCGTAGGGCCCACATGCTGCATAAATGTCGTGCATAATGCGTTCAGCGGCTTAAAGCCGTATCCTCTTCCTCCACAGTTTCTCCCGCGAATAGAAGGATGGGAACACCCTTTTTGGGAGGAACTTGTGCACCGCGCACTTGCCTAGTGAGGTGTGCCAAGTATTGGCTTTGCGTAGTGATATGGGGTTTCAGATAGCGTTGTCGAAGAGCCGTTTGCGTAGCAACATCCTCGGGTGAAATGGCCTCAGGCCCAATGGACCAGCCAGAAAGGAATTCCCAGATGCCTCCTTTCGGCGTTCTTCCACTGTAGGTGGTTTGAACCTATACTGTCGGTGGCCCTGAAGCCTTGCATATTCTTCGTCCGGCGCTTGGCAACTTCCTCTTGATCAATGGTCTGCTGCTGTTATTTGTCGAGTTAATTAGTAACCGTAGCCATGACAGATACGTCAGGCGGGTCACGTAACGCTGTTAGCGCATCTACAGCACCACGTTCAGGGAACGAATTAGGTGCATGACTACTGTCATCTTCGCCCGTGAGGGTGGCTAAAGGGGACCCATCGGGTCCCACAAAGACGGTGTCACTTTCGTAATCAACCGCTTCGTCAAGGTCGTCTTCAATGAGGTCCCGAAGAGTCTGTGACTCACTGCCGGGAGGCGTCATGTTAGGTGCCGTGAACAAACCGTAAGGATTTTAAGCGTTCGCTAAAGCACAACCTCTAAGAGGAAAGATGTCGAATGACATTCTATGGGAGCTTTAGTCTGGGTGGGGTAGGGTGTAACGGGGTTACACGACGGTTGTAACGTCATTCCGAGAGTTTACGGTTGAAGTTTCCTTTTATTGCATATAATGCATTTTGATACTTCTCTTTAGAGAGGTATGAAGTATGAGCGTTAAATATACGGTATTCGATAATACCGTATCTTATTGATTAGGATTCGATAATCAATAACGCTGTACTAAGTACATCATACACAGATGTTTAGACGATACGTCGTCCAATAGAAAAGTCTGCATATTATAATTACTATTATAGTAATAAATATAGTGTAGGGTACTTAGAGTAGGACTATTCATAAAATCTTAATGCATTAAAAATCAGTTATCGTTTTGAGTTTAAGATCACAAGTCGCTCTGACTTGCTCTCTTGTGCAATTCGTGCGTTGGTTCTCGAAACCTTTAAGCTTCTAGCTTGTTCTTGCACGCGCGTTGGTTCTCTGAACCTTAAGCTTGTTGCTTGCAGACTAAAAATCTCTCTCTAGTTCCCTTAGAACAGGGTGACTTCAAGTCGCTTAATTAGTTCCTTAGAACTAAGTGGCTCTTAGCCTTAACTCTATTTAGTTCTCTCGAACTAAGAGGCTTTCAGCCTAAAAGTCTTCCTCTGGCTAGAGAGCTATGCAGCTCCGCTACAGGATAAGCCAGCGAGGAGGAGAGCGATGTAGTTGTGATAGAAGCATATTGATATCGAAGATAGTCATAAGCACTAAAAATGACGTTCAGTTTATCATCAAAGATGTGTGTTGTAGTGTTGACAGGAGAGGTCAACACCAAACATATATTTTACTTTTACTTCTACCTACTTCTGCGGAAGTGCATCGCTTTCCTATAACAGCTTATGAGCACAACTCTGAAGTCCGTCCATTGACGTCTGCAGACAGAATTTCTGGTCGGCCAAAGTGCATCGCTCCCATTCTAACAGATACAGCTAAGACTTGTCGGTGCCTCGTCATATATACACAGCAACCGCCTAGCCAAAGTATATTTTAATTATTGGTTAGAACCATAAATTCTTACAAGACCTGTATCAATTCCACTTTGTCGGAGAATTACTTGGTCGGGAGTGAACTGTATAGCGAAGAGAGCGTCTCGGAGATCGACAAAAAATTGATCGCTGCTTAAGACTGTAATGTCGTGAAGAACAGTTCTTTTATGATGATAAGTGGAAACACCGTGATGTGGTCCCAAAAGAAGTGCCGATAGGGGTATTAGGCTCGAAATGTCCGACACCAAGTATTGTGTGACCAAAATACGACCGTTGCCGAAGGAACAAGTCAAGTATATCGATAAGTTCTTAGACAAGCGAGCTAAGTAAAGTCGACTCACTGCAGCTAGACCTTCTGTGTGCGTAAGGACACAGGAGGTTGGCGCGTGGTTCACGCATACATCAAGCTGAACATGGCCACTATTCCAGCACACATGTCGATCCCGCGAGAAGATGTCGTGCTGAGCTCAATAGGGAATAAATTACTATTTTCACGCTGAAGCTATTATCAGGTTCTCATTAGAGATACTGATGTAGCCATATGGAAGTAAGCACCCCAAGAGGTATGCTATGGAGTGACTTGAGATGCCGCAAGGCTTAAAAAACGCACCGGCGACATTCAACCGAGTGGTGGCTCATGTGATGCTTTAACAACGTTGCCAACGCACTTTCTACTTTGACAATGTATTCGCTCCTAGTAGGGCCGAGGATGAGATGAGCAAAATTAAGTAGCACAAGCGTCATTAAGACGCTATGTTGCAGACTCGGGATGACGCCCAATTGTACAAAGGTTCCCCGAGATACCTGTACTGGGCCGCATTATGGGTACAAGCGGTGATCAAGCAGACCCCAGAAAAGGTTAAAGGCTATCAAGGAATGACCCGTCCACGACACGTGAAGGATCTGCGCCAATTCCTTGGGCTTGCTAATTAATTGCATAAGTACAACAAAAATTATACAGAGCAGACCAAGACATTGTCTGTCCTTTAAAAAAGGATGCAGAATGGACTTAGTCGAAGGAGAAAGCAGAAGCGCTCGCATCAGTGAACCAATCTCTTGTAGAGACAACAGTACTAACATTGCCAGACGCGGATACGACCTTTAGCGTTGTCTGCGATGCCAGAAATTTTGCAATCGGAAGTGCGCATGCAGAAGGATGACAGCAGCGTTGACCTTCTCATCTCGTATCAGTTATGCAGCTTTTAAAATCTGCAGAACTAAATTACCCTGTGCATGATAAGTAGATACTTTCAACTAAGGATACTCTTGTCAAATTTCGAGTGCATATCTTGGGCGCCACTCTATGTATGATATTCACGGATCACTACTGCACGCAATAAACACTCACCACACCTCTCACCAAGGATGGCGAGCTTCTCTATAAATATAGAGTTAAAAGCTGAATTCGGAGAAGAATGTAAGCCATCTCGTTTAACAAGCCGGGTAAGACGTATGTCTTAGCTGACGCGTTATCACGTAGACCTGACTTCAAGGCAAAACACCAGGAAAGTGTGGCTCGTGCGAAAGCACAAGTTGAGTCGTCAACATTGGTAGCCATAAATGCCTACCATGTCACGGTCTCAATGGCCTCCGATATAAAAGAGTGCTATAGCCAGAAAGAACATTTTTGCCTGCTGTTGGATGACTTGGCGGATGCAAGATTACCCTTCCGTCGCACCTGAAAGGGAAGCTATATTTTATCTTAAAGGATAATTTTTTTATTGTTTGGAGAAAGTAGGCTTTAGCTACAGAGGCAACTTATTATGGCATCAGCTGTTACCATGTGATCCCTCGAGAATCTATGTTCTCTATAACACAGATCTTAAGCTTAAGATTTTTCACGATCTACATCATGCACCATCGAGTGAACATCTGGGCCGTGGAAAGACATTCTTACGAGTGATATAATTTTTGGCGACCCCCTATATCGGTAAGTGGCCAACTATGTTTTGTCCTGCGAACAGTGTTAGCGCATCTTCGTCGAGAAGTGCTTCATTGAAGCCACTGTCGATTCCAACTGATAGTTGGAAGTCGGTAGGCTTGAACTTTATGTTAGGCTTACCGCCTGACCCCAAGGGTCGGACAGGGCTCGTTGTCTTTGTAGACAGACTGATCAAGATGATGCATTTAGCACCATGTAGCAACAATGTCTCAGGCATGCAGGCATCCCTCTTGTTTTTGGATCACGTGTATCGAATACACGGGACACCTGAGTCTATTGTACCGGACTGGAATCCGCGTTTTACGCCAGGTTTTTGGCGTCATGTGTAGGAGCTGCTGGTAGCAAGATCCATATGTCAACAGCCGATCATCCCCAGACCGATGGCCAGACGGAGCGAGCTAATCGAGTCGTGGCAGATGGTAGCGATTTCTAGAGAATGTAGCAAACATTTGCCCTTCGGGGAGCTCGCGATCAATAACAGTGTCCACGCTAGTACGTTTGAGAAACTGTTTTTTTCAATATGGACTGCTCCATCTTCAATCGCCAGTCTCGTTTTTGCGCAACCTGATTCCTCGTGGGGAGGACCTCTAAGTACGCTCGGCGCGAATGTGAAAGAGGGCATATTTCGCCGAAGTGACGATGTATCATGTGGAGCATCAAACTACGACAAAGACTACCCTATCATTTCGGCAGTGGTCACCGCGCCTATACGGGTCTGTGCTCCATGATGATGACGAATTACGGGAACAATGGGAGAACTACCCCGTTAGCTTGCTGTGATCATCAAAATCCCTTTGAGGTGATGGCAGCGGCGTGCTCTCATTGTAGTCAACAACGAAAGACAAAGTAATCCACACTATATAAGTAAGACAGATCATCGTGTCCTTGTTACGCTCCGGCAGCATCAGTAGCTGTCGGCGTTGCAACAGTGACACTTAGCGACGGCAGCGACTCATTGCGACGCGTACGATTAGTATTTGATCTTGTGGTTACCTTCGCGGTGACCCACCAGCTCTGGCCGGTTTCGGTGGCATGCGAAGTGCCGTGTGTTGATACCTCAAGAGGCGCACACACAGGTAGCTCAAAAGTGAATGCGAGTCAACAAACCGGCGCGTCGTAGACGGCTCGTTGTCCATCTCACTTCATTTGCAATGATTTACAATATGTGTAAAGGTAATTTTTTACGATGGGGAGGGTTATGTAACGCTTATATGCTCAGAAGGTTACGCATATTTGTCGGCACGTGGTACTTAGCGAGGAGGTCATAAGTACGTGTGTAATAAGACCAGCCACTTGGGTGAGGCACATCATGTGACCCATCCTATGTGTATGTTGCACACATTAGGTGTATTCACATTGAGGGGATGACGACCAGAAGAGACTGGCGTCATCAAATGACGTCAAGAAGACGTCATTTACGAGCTTTAATACTTTTAAGCTCGCCACGTAGAGATGCGCATAAAACACCCCTCATTGCTTACTAGCCAATATAAATCAGTCATAAGCTTTCTACTTGAAATCACAATTGTGTGCAGGAGGACTGAAACCAGCGTCCGCTACACAACCAGTGAGTAGTATTTAATTTTGTTGAGTGAGGTCGCTTCGGCGACCATCTACGTGTTGAGTGAGGTGGCTTCGGCGCCCATCAACGTTTTGAGTGAGGTCGCCTCGGCGCCCACCACATAGTCGCTGCACGCAAGAGAAGACGGTCTAACCGCTTTCTCGCTTGTACAAGAAGTTGTTTGCGTATAGAACGTTGCAGCCTGTAAAGTGCCCGTCTACTCTTTTACCTGATACTTTCTCTTCACTTACTCGCCTGTACAGTAACGAAGAAACGACGAACTTTTTTGTAACCTTTGCATGTTCGACAAGAAGTTTGTCATTTTAATGTGCTTGTTCACCGTATAACAATACACTTATGATCAAGATATTGGCTCTTAGTACTTGATTTTGTCATGCCATACGTATAGTATACACCTTAAAATTTTGTGGTATATTTTATTATTTTTTAAATTGAGGACAAATTTTTATATTTTCTCCTCTTGGAATATTCCGTTTGTAACAAACACTGTCCCGAATGACTTGATTGTGTGTACCACATGCATGTTACAATACATATCTCTGATGGACGCCTTTGACTTCCTCGAGACGCTACCGCCAGCGACGCTTGAACGTCTATACGAGGACCCATGGGCATGTCAAGCTATCTTTCAAGCCCTCCCTCCTCTTGCACAGCAATTTGTAATGCGTTTGCTTCCCACTAACGCTGCTGTGCCGTGTGAATTATTGGAACAATGGGTTGTTCCGGAGCCTGGCGAGGTCAAGCGCATGCCACCGCAATTTCATGTGGCATTACACAAATTAAAAGGGCTTCGGGTATTTCTACAGCAGGATGGCAGCTATCGGTCACATCCGACATTCCAGAAACAGCTTATGGTGAGGAAAATGAGGTTAAAACAACATTATTGCGTCCGTTTAGAAGAAATAATTGATGAGAATATGTTGCTGTGATAATAGTACGCACTGAGTAATTTAGGTGGATCTCCTTGGGAAAGTGGTCGACTTTGTCTACCGAAAGACTTGGAGAACATGTTTACTACGGCAGACCTGGAACGATATGCCCGAGCAAGATGGGACGCAGTGCTGCATTATATGGTAGGCTCGACAGCTGTTCAGGAGCCGCCTCAGTCGGTGGTAGATATTTTAATTCGGACAAAATTGCTGCAAGCTAGTGGAGCCGACTCGAGAGCGCTCCATATTACAGATACGGGCTACGAGTTTATGCTGAAAGATATTCACGTGCAGATGTGGATCTTTTTGCTCGAGTACATCCGCACGCTGGACAACACGGGGACGCTAAAGCAGGAGGACATTCTACAGTTTCTATTCCAGATTAGCTATTGCCAAACGGGAGAATACTATGCAGTGGCTGATCTTACCGAGACACAGCGACTACTACTGGGAGATTTCATTGACTTTGGACTACTGTATCGTAAGCGCACGAATTCAGATCGATTTTACACGACAAGTCTGGCTGTAAACTTAATTTTCGGTGGATCGACGGGTCAGAAGCGTAACCACGTAAGTCTCTCGAGCTCATTTGCTGGTGTACGCGCTGGAATGAAGTCGCAGATGGCAAACCCACGCCAAATTCCAGCGCTTGATCGGGGTGCTCAGTTGCTCGTGGTGGTGGAGACGAACTTTAAAATTTACGCTTACACTACGTCAACTCTTCACGTCGCCATGCTCAGTGTCTTTGTCGATATCGTGGCCAGACTGCCGAATCTGGCAATCGGCTTTATCACGCGCGAAAGTTTGCGCTCAGCTCTCATTCATGGCATCTCTGCGCAGCAAATCTACGATTTTTTAATCAAGCATGCGCATCCAAAGATGCGCCACAACACCCCAGTCATTCCTGAAAATATTGCGGATCAGATTTACTTGTGGGAACGCGAGCGCAATCGCGTGCAGTTTATGGCGGGTATCCTTTTTGATGGGTTTAACACCAAAGAAGACTACGAGAGTGTGCGGGACTACGCTAAAGGCCTCAAGGTGCTTACGTGGTCGGATCCTATTCACTTCAGGATGTCGATTGCGAGTGCAGGCATTGACGATGTTCGCCACTACATCCAGAGTCAGCTCTCCTCGCGAGGGTAGTAGGCCAGACAGATTGCTTTGCCATCATATTTTGCCAGTCACACATGAAGGGGATGGACGTGAAAAGCAGTGGCCAAGATGGAACAACTTGCAAATGCAGCACTTAATGCATAGTTAGTGGCTCCAAGGTGCGACCTAGTCGAGTAAGCAGGACGTTCAAGTGTCCCAATGCGCAAAGCAGGCAGCTGTTGCTGTCTGATATCGATGCTAAGCATTCTTCTTCATTACTTTTGAACTCTGCCATTGAAGTATCAACTGCGCGGAGATGAAAGAAATGATAAAGTGGATGACGTGAATGCCGTTAAATCGATGAGGACCCACAAAGCATCAGCACTGCAATTGAACGTATTGTTACTGCATCACTAGAACAGACGTCGATAGTAAGCTGATTATAGTTTGAAGTGCTCGAATTGATGCGGCTCAGCTTGTCCATAATGCAAGAGGTAAACCCTGCAAACATTAAAGTAGTGGCGACTGACCGTTTGCCTGGTCAAAGCAAATCTTTGACGGACACTAGCAGTCATTGACTTTTTTACTGTAGCATCGTGAGCAGGATGCAAATGTTGTTACTCGTAACCTACAGTAACAATTCTGAGGACCTAAGGTATATGAGAAGCTTACGATGCAACTGCACAGTATGATCATAATTGATGATAAAGAGCAGATGGATATGAAAGAGTGGCGGGGTCGTTATGAGTTAGATCAGTGTGCCTACTCGGGAACTCTGTAGTAACTATAAATTGCTAAGTATAACAACACGAAGATCAAAATTGAACATGTTCATGTTGTATGTGATGATGCTCCGTGCTTTAGCCGTAGATGCGACGCAAAGCATGACTCTATGGTGCTTTCGGATCTTGCAAGTAAAATGGATGAAACGAGATCAAACCACTGCTCCAAGCAACGCTCAGCAAGGCACCATGCTTAAAGTTTGAGGCAAATGCAAGCTTCCGTGGCACGCCGGCATTAGGGGGTCCACGCAACAAGCCGCTACAGTAGATTAAAAAGTTAGCTTCCTTGCTGGTGGAGAACCCACAAGAATACAGACCTCTGAGTAAAAATCAGGAACGGCTGCCAAACGACGCTGAAAATGGCCACCAGGGTTGCTGTTCCAGCTTGATGGAAGCCAGTGGCTGTAGTCTGATACGTGACAGCAACCCTGGACCCACTAGGATCCCATGCGATATTCTGAACCTTACCACCGACAATGCTACAGGTGCACATGCACAAGAGAACAAGAAAAATATCAGTACCAGCAACACCGTTTTTAGAAGTTAAGTTGACCAGAGGTGGTGATGACAAAAACCCTACGCAGAGGTACTCCGGTCTAAAGAAAACAACTCCCTCTCAGCAAAGTCAACAGCTGGTGAGCTAATTTGTGCATCTGCATATCAGCATCACAATTTTAAGATTTACAAGTTAGTAAAGCAGCACTAATTTTCGAGAAGGCACCGTCACATACCTAATGACGGAGGGCAGCCTTGGAAGATATACGGATACATGAGTGGACAATTGCGAGGCGCCATAAGCAGACACCGTCCATTGCTTGACCATCCGCAGCCCTGAAATGTCAAGAACGGTCATCACAATTATCAGTACATGCAAGAAAGGCATCCAACTGAGTAAAACCTTTTGACGCACCGATGCAGCAACCTCCCATGTCTCTCTTTTCCACGTCAGCGTCTCCCACATCAACGACACGCCGTTCCTAGGAATGGCAACAAAGTGTGAAAAACAGAGGGCAATTACGCATCAACAATACGCAGAGAGAGCACTTACTCCGTCGTCACGAATAAATATTCGCCTGTCGGCGACCAATGCAACGACGTCAGTTTGTAGGGGCACTGCAACTCTGTCTTTCGCGGAAAGATGGCATCGAACACAACGACAGACCAAGACCCCTTTGCAAACGCCGCGAGCAAGCTTCCATCCTCATTCCAGCTCGCTTGGGTGAATCCAGTATTGCTCGGATGTGTGAGGATCTCTTGCAGTACAGGTTCTTTACAATATCAACACAATGTCAGCTCTTCCTGCTACCACTACTACTACTTATTCACTCACCTTTCTCCTTCATCGACACTTTCCATAGAAACACCCCTGTCCTACACGCCACTGCCAGTACATCACCCGTAAACTTTCCCCATTCAATACTGCCAATATCCATCTGCTTGGGATGTTCCAGCACTCGAGTGTCCCACGAGGCGCTCTCTACATCATAGAGCGCCACAACTCCATCCAGCTGAGCCACTGCTAGTACATTTTTTGCAGGATGCCAACTAATATCCACAATGCTCTCCCCATTGTCTTGCTCCCCCTGTCTCTTATCCAGCAGCTCCAACTCGTCGTCTTCCGTCCCCATCGCAGCCTTTAGTAACCTCTGCGCAGCGTCCTTGGCAACATCCAGCACTCTACGGAGCACGTCCAGCTCATCATCCATTAGAAAGCTCTTGGTGACACTTAAAGCGCGCTTGATCAGCTTCAAAGCGCCCGAGTCCAACTCCTCGCCCTGCTCGTCCGTCAAGGAGTCGTGCTGATCGAACGGACGAGGCTTGGCGCTTGTCACACGCGCCGGATTCAGAGCACAACCTCCACGTCGTATAAACTCATCACTTATACGCCCACTGTCCTGTCTAGACACACTGTACAGCTCGCCATTGAGCTCACCGAGTGTCACGGCGTTGGCGTTCGGTACGATCCAAGTCATTGCAGGCGCGGTGTCAGTGAAATGGGGTAGTACTACGACCTAGTTCAGTGGCACCTCTTGTTTTACATATACTGTATACTTCGATTTAATTACCTTTTCTATATTGACAATCACTCCTTTACTTCTAGGAATTTATACTTCATGCTGGTCAAAGTCAACGTATCGGCGTCGGGTACCGCAACGAGCACAGCATTCGTGTCTTTTGCAACCTTTAAGAGCTTGGGTGCACCATGGGGATCGTATGTATCATTGCAATGCTGCAACTCGCATCAAGCGCGTGTTTTTCGGCTGGAAATTGATGAAAAATGGAGTGATCAACGTGTCAGACTTGACCAGTGGCCGTCCTGTAAGATGGCTCACAATCAAAGGTTGAGCCATTGTAACACTGTATTCGAGTCTGAATTTCAAGGTACTTTGAAGTGTATCAGACCGTCACATGTTCAGGTGGTGCAATATGTGGCTGTAGCTCCTGTCAGTGAGAATCAAGTGAAACTTTTGCTCCCGTTCGTCAAAAGTTTGCTGCAAAGACGGATTTTGACTGGAAAAACTGGATTAATTACTCTTCAACGTGACGGATTGGACTATGGTGAGTGGAGCTATACAGCGTATTACCGTGGACGTAGTGGGGATCACAAAAATCAATTCGAGACGATTGATGGTGGAATTGTAACAGATCAGACGCTCGTGTTGATATTTCCGTCCACTACGTCCTCGTTAGCTGCCTTTTCGCCGCATGTAAAGCGAACGTATCAACCGGTTGGCGCTCACGCTCGAGGGTTCCGAGAGCTGGTAGCTATGGCACTTCGGACGACGTCGAGTTGTGGAGCGGATGATCGAAAGCAGGTCTTTGCTGTCCCTCACTCGCTCTTGTTGCACGCACCAAGCGGTGCTGGCAAGACAACGTTAGTCCAGCAAGTTGTAGATGAACTAAAAGCAAATTTGCTTGTGTTTGATGGTGGATTGTTAGCATCTCCGCAACTGCGACTGGAAGATTTTTTCTCGGCTGCACTACGTATCCAGCCGTGTGTGCTGCTGTTGGAAGATCTGGAACTTTTGTTTCCGATGACTCTTGATGAAACCAAGTACAAACTTGTTTGCCGTCTTGTGAATTGCCTCGAGAGTATTCGTCAGTATTTGCTCGCTAGTGTGGTACTATAATTGCAAGGACTGACTCCTTCTTGCTGTGTTGTTAATCAGAAAAATCCGACTTGATTCGCGTTGCTGTCGTAGGAGTAGTGTCAGTGATGAATGCGCTGCATTCGAAAGTGCGTCAGTTGTTCACGGAAGAGGTGTTTCTCGATGTAAGTGGTGGTTCTCTCTCAAATGGCACGTTGGCGTACTGTGATTAGCTATCTAACGTTGTGGCTGCATAGATCCCTGACAAACAATGGACCGTCAATTTGTTGGCATCATTGCTGCCACAGTCAAAACTGCTGCGACGCGAGTTTATCATGTCATTAGCTGTTCGATATGGTCAACGGCCTAGCAATATCGTTTCTATTGCTCAACTAATTCGCACGTGTCTGTCGCGAGAAGACAGCCAATCTATTAGTGTCGACATTCTCGAAGCTGAAATTGCCGCTGCTGCGCGCGAAATCTCTAGTAGTAGCAATGGTGCTGACACACTGAGCTCTTCTGTCCCAGACGTCTCGTGGACGGACATCGGTGGTTTAGAACGCGTCAAGCAAAATCTAGTTGAGATGGTCGTGTGGCCGCTAGAGAAGCCACATGTGTTTCGTCGGATGGGCATCTCACCACCTTTGGGTATGGTGTTGCATGGCCCACCTGGAACCGGAAAGACCATGCTAGCTAAAGCTACCGCGAAAGCAAGCGGTTGCAATTTTCTTAATCTGGCAGCTAGTGACCTAATGAAGGCTGAGATTGGTGAGAGTGAAAAGGCCATCACGCGCGCATTCGATACGGCTCGTGCACTCAGTCCTTGCATGATTTTCATCGACGAATTCCAGTCACTTTTCGGCAATCGATCAACTGCTGGCCAAACAACGTCAAGGATGATTTCTCAGCTCTTGATGGAGCTTGATGCGTTGAAGGCAGTGTCCGACGACAGTGAACTACACTATGGATTAGCTGCGGCTTCCACAATGACAAGTATTGCTACTGGTCGGATTTTCGTCCTCGCGGCAACAAATTCCTTATCAGCTATCGATCCCGCATTTCTTCAACCAGGTGCGCACGATATTGATTTGGTGATGAATCAATTGTGCACTACTAATTGATTGTTCCTCTTACGTTATTCATTCTAGGTCGCTTTGAGAATGTGGTGTATGTTGGTCTCCCGAATTCCAGCGAGCGTAAGGCAATTCTGGAGATTCAGCGCAGTAAAATGCCGTGGAGTCATGACGTCGACCTCACTAGACTTGTCGAAGAAACTGACGGCGCTAATGCTGCATCGATGATCGCGCTGTGCCAGGCTGCAGCTATTCAAGCCATGCAACGGATACCTTCAAACACACCATTAGATGAACAGGTACACAAGCTTGCCTACTTCAGGTCTCGTGCTCGATAATATTTATTGACATTGTACTTGTTCGATTGATGCAGTGCATTGCAATGACCGACTTCGTCGCAGCTTTAGCGAAAGGAAATTTTGGCTTTCAAAATCAGTAGATGGACATACCAGCATTGGCGAGACTAACATTAAAAGCGAAAAGCAATGGCGCCGTTACATTTCTAGAGTCGTCATCACCACTATTCTTCAGCATCAAAGCTTGCATACGCCCGTAACGCCTTTTTGACGCCCGGAGGAAACGCGAACAAGGATAACTCACCTTGGAATACCTCTGTGATGCGATAGATACCGCTGTCTATACCTGGGTAGAAGTGATCTAGTCAGCACACCAAGATGGCTGAATGCCCAGAACATCAGCACTGCTTACCTTTTGCTAGAGCTGTAGCTTCCTGTACGTAGACATCGGTCGTATTGCTCTCCTTTAAACAAGTCTCCATGTACGTCTCCAACGCATGGCGGCACTCTAACAGCGACGAAAGCACAGCCGGTACAGTGTGCTAAATTGCATAAAGTAATTAGAATGCACGCTTACGCATGATAGAACGCGACATCAGAAACATACCTGAACATGTCCCAGCTTATCCTCAGAACGCGATACACTGACAAGGTGACATAGCAGAGCTTCCGCCGCGCGAACAACCTTTGCACGCTGAAACACACGCCGACGGGCCTCTTCTATCAAGAAGCAACGAGTCGCAAACTGCAGTTTTGATTCAACAAAAAATCGGATTGGTGACTTCACACTAGTAGACGAGATGTGAGGATTTGCCAAGTGCGGGTACTGGTGAAGCAGGATTAGCGGATGAGCGTCTTGCTGCGAGTTTAGAAAGCGTAGAAGGGAACCAAAAGACTGCTCAAGTGCCAACGCGTCGGTAGCAGAGCTGTCTCCTACTACCGAGCTTTCTCTGTCCTGCAGCGTATTCAGCAATTGCAACATCAGCGTGAAACCATCGACGACTGCAGTCGTCGAGTTAAACAATGCATTCCACCTTTCTCGAGAGGCAAAAAGCGACTCCCGTGCGTCCGCATTGAACTTACACCCAGTAAGTAAGTTCTTAAACTTGAACAAGCTATCCAAAATCTCCACGTCCTCTGCATCCGCAGGGGCCTTAAGCGTCTCCTTATCCGATATCTTCTTCAAAGCCGCGTCCATTCGCTTTTGCAAGCCCTGTAAATATTGTTCACTCAGTGGTTTGCTTGTTTGTGGGATTGCAGCAATTTCAGTCGCAAAAAGCGCGCCTGTCACGTCTCCATCCTTTGCTTTCACGACTGCTTGCGACTGCCACATATTGTTAGTGTCACCAAACATGCCATCCACATCGCGGTAGTTTACACGAAAAAGCAGGATACGGAACACTGAAGCCGCACTTAGTATAGCCAGATTCTCCAATCCACTGCTCATAATCTGGAACGCTGTTGTCGAAGCATGCAACGACAAGAATCCTGCTCTTGTCACCACCTCAATATTCATCTTATTGCTGTGAGCGAATAACCAACTCAGTACGCGTCCGACAATGTAAACCATTACACCGCGACGTGCTGCACGCACCACATCTCTCTGCATGGCTCTCACAAAGGCCGCAGGTGGATTTAACACGAACGGGTCTTCACTTAAACTTTTTTCCACCATTACAAAGGAGATACACGACACAAGACCACCAGCTAATGCAAATAAGCCAAAGTTCTCTGCCACTTGAGCATTGGATGCCATTCCATAGTATAGCACAAGTTTCCAGATGTACGAGTGAACCACACAAAGAAGCAATAGCACTGGAAGTGGTGGCTGCTGTCGCACACGTGCTACGACGTCCACAACGGCACAAACGGCAGTTTGAAGCCCTCCACGGCTACTGACAATTGGTTTTGCCTCGACACGACGCGGTGTAGGCAGCAACGCGTATCGAAGCGTCAATTGAGTGACTGTTACTATCCAGAGGAGTCCATTAACCAGTAGAAATCCAGTCAACGACGGGAATTGCAATGGCGAGAGCACTGGCAATAGACACAAAAACACCAGAGAAAGACACACCGTGCACAAGACGGTAAGAGCTACAGCACGCAGAGTTTGTTGCAAACGCTGCTGTATATATGGATAGAGTAGATCAGAGGAGAAGGATGACGATGTAACGTTGCTTAAGCCCGTAGTATACAGTCGCAGTAGCGCATACAGCACCTCAAGCGAATGCGTGAAGCCCATGGCCAGCTAAATTCAAAAGTTGAGTGCGATTTACGTGGACCACATATATTGGAAATATTGATCATATTTCCACATAGTGATCATTGTGTTGGAAGGGATTTCAAAAAGACGCTAATCATCCCCCACACTTTCTTGCTAACCAGCCTCCCCCTATAATCTGATTTGGTCGAAGTGAAACCTCATTGAAAAAGTACATGACAATATTAAAACGTCATGGTTTTTTATATTGTAGACTTTCACCATCTGTTGCACAAGTCAGGATCAGTGCTGTCTTCACACAATCTTGCCGTGGGAGCGCTTACTTATGTAGCTTTATGTCGAGACAATCGTTCTTCAGTGGTGTAAAACACCTTCCGAGTTGTTTCTGAACCAGCAAAATGGTATATCTAGCATGATTGTCAAGCAGTCGCCATAAGATAAAAACGAATGTCCTCCTAACGGCCTGACTGGGATGACATTCGTTTGTGTAAATGTTACTGTACACTAACACATCGTCTACCTTTCGATGAGGAGACTTAAAATCGTTGAGAGAGTCTGTTCAAAGGTGCCAAAAAGAAATGACTGAGTAGGAGCAGCATGTTGGCATGGATGACATCAACGACGAGCATTTAATCCTCTACAAAGTGTAGCAACATCAAGCACAAGAGTAAGAGCATACATACCACAGAACACCAGCCATCTGAATCTACCAATTGTTTCCATCCTCTTGGCATTAACCTCATCTACCTTCTACTGGTGCCTACAGTAATTCTCGACATGGCATTATCTCAATTGGTAGTCATTCTCACATCAACGACGCTGCTAATCTGCTAGTCCTTGGCAAAAACTCACAACCTCCAGCGTCAACTTTTTTTCTAATCAGCGCAGTCACACTCACTTGGTGATTCTTTTCGTTCTTCTCTTCCACTTGTTGAATTGGTAAAACCTTTAGATCGACTGGCAGCTTGTCCATTTGATCGCGCATATAGTCGATTCTCTCGATCGCTTGTTTCGTACACGATTGACGTTCCCATTGATTCTGCATTACGCTACAGCTTCTGCTTCCCACTTTGCTCAAACTCTTCGCCTCTTCTGCGCTCTCTTGTTTTAATGTGTTGCTCCATTTTCTGCGTCGTGTGCGCTTGGTCTTCAATTCTCCGCTGGAACGTAAAGGTAAAGAGGTTCTAATCACGTACGTCTTCTTACATGTCAATGGGAAGAGCATGTCGTACTGGATTTTTGGATCCTACGCTCTTACCTAGTTACGATGATGCTTGCATTTTTCCTTCGACAAGGCGAAGCTCTTACGAAGTTTTCTCATCATGAGTGTAGCGTTAAAGATGCAAGGACAGCTACAAATGCATTGATCATTCTCTTCTGCACTGCAACCGATATGATTAGCTTGACTTGAGTCAGTACGAGAAACAATAATTGCAGACCATGAATCTGAAAGGCCAATGTAATGGTGATTACGTTTTGCATTGACATGACGTTGAGGTTCCGGCTGGAAGAGAACTCATCCAACAAAACATTGCTGCAAAAACAAAATCCGGACGTGTGTCAGAGTCTGGACTATGCCATTGGACACAAGATAAAAGACGTCAGCCAGCAACGTTTTGTTTACAGCCATGGCATTTGTTCTGGAAGACGAGGATGCTCAAGCTTTTCAAGCAGCACTGTCGTTCGTGGACGAATGTGTGCTGGTTGATGAAGAAGAGATGAAAGATGCAGTAGCATTGAAGCCAACTGTCATGATGCAGTCCGAAGAAGATGAATGGACGTGGAAATCAGCAATTGACATCACCGGAGTCGAGACGTCATTCGAAGCTTGCGGGACGTCGTCTACGGTTTCAGCTATTGCAATGCAGAAAAAGACTCACGAGATGAGAGCTGCGAGTCAAACGGTGTCAAGACGACGAACGGAGATGAAGGAGCGGAAGAAATTGTTACGGAAGGCTGGCATCTACGGCGACGCCAACTGGATGAGCAAAGACAGCAGACTGGAGATCGCTTATCTTCACGAAAGAATTGAGAAGCTTCAGCTCGACCTGCAGGTTCTACAGAGTCGAAAGAGCAGCAAGAAAGCTACGAGTGCTCAAGTTGCAGCACAGGAACCTACAGATGCGATGGATTCAGCACGTCAGATCCCAAAGGTGTGGGGAGAGATTGCTGGTCGACAGCAACGACGACTAAAAGAGACTGAACGCAAAAATACACGCTTGAGACTTGCCGTGCAGCAACAGCAAAAGGCGGCAACTTGTATGCGGAACTTGGTGCGAAAGCGAGCTGGATATTTGGTGCGTTCTCACTGTCTTGAGCATGTGAGAACACTGTGTACTAACTCTTTCGTAATCTGGTACTGTGATCAAGACGAGTGATTGCTCTTCGTTCATAGACTTTGGATGTGCTAACCAGATTTTCGTCCAGCTTCTGGCCTCTCGACGTGGTGGTGCAGGAGACTTCCCGCTTCTTTTTCGACATCTCGAGACCGCACGTCAGGAAGTGGATGCTGTTTTCACTTCCAACGGTCTAGCGAACATGGTGCTTACTCCCAGCGAAGTACACCTTCGCGAAGGTGTCGACGGCAAATACCTCGAAGCGTTCTCGAACAAGGTGCTGCCTTTTGCACTGCGCGCTGCGACTGAAGCTACTTGGGGTCACTTTAAGGGAGGTGAGAAGCATCTGGGCAATGGCAATATCTACGAGAAGACTGCAAAGGTATATGATGCTTAGATTGCGCGTGTCTTGAGGGTTGCTCTAATGTTTCTGGTTTGTTGCAATGTGATGTCACCGCTAGAGCGATGACCCGTACACGATTATTGAAGAATTTACGAAGGAGATGCACTCCAAGAATGCTCGAGCAGACATCAAGGTGCAACAAGTTGTCCGTCGCTATATGGAGCCCGACCGTGACATCATTATCTGGGTTTCGATGGCTGAGCCTGTCGAGATTAAGCATAAGATGCTGCATGGACTCACTTACCATCTTCGTGGCTACGCCATGACGAAGCGGTCATCTGCATCGACACCGGAGAACGAGGTCTCTCAGCTGCAGTGCGTGTCGCTGATTTCACTGGAACCGGAGGCGGAGGTCAGGTACGGACCCGAAACTGTGCGTGCAGTGACCAATTTCCTCATTGTCACTGCAGCTCAGAAGATGCAAGCTCATCAAGACTGTATTGAAAATGCCCTCGTGGACAAACAACTAGGACGACGAGGTGTCACGACGTCATCCTACGACATGTACTAGCATCAATAACGACAATTGAGAGCACCGAAGACGTCCTATCGGTATGAGTGCGTGCACACTGAAGAGACAGTGACGTCGTGCCGAAATTGGACTAGTGCAGGAACGTGCACCGACTTGTTAACCAAGCGGACATGGTTTTGAAGGTGATGACGGCAATGCTACCGTCAGTGGACTCGCCAAATAGATCATATGGAGGTATTTTCATACAGCTCTCGAGCAGACATGCAAGTGCTGGAGGTGATAGACACATCGGCAACGTAACGCATTTTGTGTTTGCCAATAGCAGCCCATTTCGACCACATTTCGCGTGACGTCATTGTGTCATGATCAAGTCTCGCACCACCTGTCAACTTGGTCACAAACAGCAACATTACCCCTGGTGTGTCCGGATAAGCCGTATACAACCAACGCTGGCGTCAATACCGGACACGTATAGCGCGGTCAACTTCAACCTGCCCATCCCCGCTGATTCTCTTATAAAATAGTAGTATTATCCCGACCATTTAATATTCATATTTTGCTTCGTCTGAAGCACTGAGATGGCATTCCTAGAAGATGACGACGCCATGCGTGCCTTTGAAGCAGCCCTGTCGTACGTGGAGCAGTATTCTATTGACACGTCCATGTTTACAGTGTCCCCCTCTACAAGTGGCGCTTCTTCCGCTACTTTTGTGTCGTCTCTAGCATCCGCATCAGTTGATGACATTGAGCTCTTATCGCCTAGTGCCACGCCATTAGCATCGACTTTCACAGACATAAATGAGTCTATAGAGGATGCAAGTGACACGACAATGACGTCTCCGTCTTCTCCACTGTTTCAGCTATCGAATGAGGCACCTACAAGACTCGAACAGGGTCTCCCTACTTCAGAACAGACGAGGAAGCTAGGAATTAGAGGCAGGAAGAAAACGACTGGCCGGAAAATGCCTGTGACAAGAGGAGACCCTAATAGAGCCAGAAACGAACGCAAAATTGAGTTGGCATACCTTAGGGAAAAGGTCAAGCAGATGGAGTTGGAACTAAGAGCGCTGAAGCTCCATCCAAGAGCAAAACCGAGAGCTATTCGTCATAATAGCAAGAAACTAGAAAAAGGATTTACAAAACAGGAGACAAATGCAGGTTCAACAGTGTCGAGGTATGATTCGGTGCAGATACCGACAGTGTGGAGGGAGGTAGCGTGTCGCCAACGCAGAAGAAGGGAGAAGGCGGAGCGGGAGAACGTCCGGCTTAAACTTATACTGGAGAATCAGATTAAGATGGCAAAGGGACTGGAGAGTTTGCTACAAAAGAGAGCAAACAAACAGGTTGAAGCGAGTCGTGATGATATGATGATGGAGTAAGATTTCTGATGGAGTGTTGGGCGTGTTTATGGTGTAGGTTGTCGAGTGTTCAAGCTTGTCACAAACGAAGAAGTCCAAGTATTCCCAGGGACGAACGCTGGATTTTCGTGCTGATGTAAACGATTTCAAGGACTTGCTGGCGCATCTGGATAGGGCGTATCGGGAAGTGGACACTGTGTTTGCTGCGAATGGATTGGCAACGATGGAAACTACGCATCGCGACGCTCGGATGCGCGAAGGCGCGGACTACATGTACCTTGATATATATGCGAACAAAGTAATGCCTTTCGGCATGCGCGCGACGGCAAAAGCGGTGTGGGATCACTTTAAGGGAGCAGAGAAACATCGCGGTAACATGTACGAAGGAAAGGTGGCAAGGGTAAGGACATAGTGTGATGTTGCTACTGCTTGTGTATAGCTGACAGTGATTTGTGGTTTTGTAAAGCACTTGGCAACACCAGATACACCGGACACAATCATTGAGGACTTTGCGAAAGAGTTTTTTGCCGACAATGCACGTGCGGATTTTCATGCGAAGCAGGTGCTGCGACGATATGTAGAAGAAGACCGCGAGATTGTAATTTGGGTATCAAGTGTCGTTCCGCTTGAGTTCGATGACCAGCGTGTCAAGGGTCTTGGTTTTCGTCATCAAGGATACGCTCTCACCAAAAGGGCAAAGGTATCCGCACCATACCGCGAATTTTCACTCTTACAGTTATGTTCATTGGTGTCACCAGAGAAGGAGGATCACACGGTGTATGACCCCGCGGCTGTGCGTGCATTAACAGACTTCATGTTGGGAACCGTGGCGGGCAACATCACGGCCAGTCAGGAACTCATTGAAAACGTTTTGATGGATCAAGGTATATAGACTCAACATCTAGTAAGTGTTGACTCTGTATGGACTTGCTGCTTCTGGATGATCAAGCGGTACGGTTATCACATAGACGGCATGAGCGTCTAATTGCCGGAACGGGTGCCCACGTGCTGACGGTCACCATCGCAATGACTGTGCAGACGCACTCGTTTTCGGACGCACTGGGTAATGAAGGTGTGCGAGATCGCAGCAGAGTAATCACATCTGCGTGTACAGTATGTGCGATTTGAAGTCCCATTGCACCATATACCCAGCGAATGACACGGACGTATAATGGAATGGCGATGTTTGCCGAATCCTTTGATTACATGATTGAGCTGCCTGCCGTTCGGGTTCACCATGTCAAATGGCGGCCTTCAACGACACGATAGACAAACAAACAAGACGACGAAAACTTTGATTCTCGTGGTTGAAAAGGCCTCGATGTATTTTGATTTTGCTAGCAAGCCGAGCCAAATCGAGTGAATGCTGGCTGATTCTGTGTTGATGTCTCTATCAATGACAGCAATCGTATTTCCGTGCTGGTTCGTTCCATGAGACCTACCATCAGGCAAAAACCGTTTCAAAAGGTTGTATACATGTATACGACAGCTTAATATCTACAAAACTCCCACACTCGACTTTCATAAATTACCGATGATCGAGAAAATTCGATCACATCAATTATTGAACCCAAAATAATTGCAATATCCAATTTACCGACTAGTCACCAAATGGCGTCCGTCCCACCATCAACTGCTATGAACCTCAATGTCGGTGTTGACTCGTCTCCAGTCTCAACTTCAACTTGTAATGCTCTCGATGTAAATTCCTTTATCGAACGAACCAAAGAAGTTAAAGTGGATGTAAATGATTATTCTCGTTTTAAAAACATTGGCGCTGACTCCGACGAAGACGAAGATCCCGTGGCTCGTGTGGACGCATCAAAGTGTCGCAATTGCAGTAAAAAAGGGGCAAAACTCAAGTGCAGCGTGTGTAAAAAGGTCGTCTATTGCGCCCGGAAATGTCAAGCAAGTGACTGGCCATTCCATAGACGCATTTGTAAGACACCAGAAACGAGAAAAAACCCGGAAGTAGTACGTCGAGCTTCTGTGAAGCAATCGACGTCTACTTCATCCTCTTCGAGCTCGTCTTTTTTGAAACAAAAGACGACCATTTCAAGTGACAACAAGTCAAAAGAGACCCGTGGTAAGTCGTCCATTGTGGTGACGGATGAACCGGATTTACCGGATAATATGAGAGGTTATAAGAATGGACTTCCATATTTTCATCGAGAATTATCCAAGGAAGAAGAGACTTTAATTGGAGACATTGCACCCCAAAAAATTGAACCAAAACCTGTGACGGTGAGGAAGGTGACACTTTTTGAATGACGGACGACTTTTTAGTTAACATTTTATTTTTGTACCGTGGGTTTCTTTTTTGTAGGCGACATCAGTGCAACATGATGGATCTGCTTGGAACACGGCGGGTACATTTGAAGAACGTGTGGTGACCAAGTGGGCAGAGGAAAAGTGGACCGACGTCTTTACGGGTGCAACCTATGTGGAAAACAATATGCAGGCGACATTAAAAGCGCCTGAGAAAATTGCGGGTGATGCTAGTATCTGCGTTGTACGAGGCAAGAAACGGTATTTGTTTGACTTCAACTTGAATCTTCCCTTTGAAGTCTCGGTTAGTGGTGGAGGTACTTGCAAAGGCTTGTATGAAATGAACGACATCTCGAACGACGAGGATTATCAGGTGATGATATAGCTAGATGTGTCATGTTTTGTGTAGCTACGATTGTTTAGCTAAGATTGTTTTGCCGATGTCTTGTTCTTTGCAGATCTCGTGTAGGTTGACCGACAAGCTCAGCAATGCCAGCGAACAAAGTGCTGTGGAGGCGTTCGTTGCCAAGAAAAACAGCGGCCTCCAGAAGGAATTGATGCGACTGATTGGCGTGTTTGCGAACGATTTTCAACAGCAATAGAAAGAAATGCCATGAGTGGAAGGCGAACCGCAGTGCTTTACTGGAAACAGCAGCGAACAGTGCACTCACTATACATTCTGGACAATAAACATACTTGTCAATCCTCGCTGCTCGATAAAACGCGACTCGAGAGATTGTGCAGCACATAGTGTCGTTGATTGTAGAATTCCATTTGCCTGTCGAGTTCCATTGCACGTTTCTTGCGTCACCTCGAGTGCGTCAAAACTAGGAATGCAAAACATGGGGTGATAAGGTCGGACTAATAGCATGCTCAGACGAAAGACAATGCCGAGCAGCGGTCATGCCCATATGACAACTCTGGAAAATGTCGTGTCCTGCTAGCAAGCCGTATACCGTCCCGTCAACCATGCTGTCGCCTGTAAATAGCCATGACTTTTACCACAAGTATAGGCATGGAAAATTTGCAGCAATCGTACCGGCACCAGTGCAATTCTCAACAGAAATTTCCACACCAGGTAGATGCACCATTGTATTCAAGTGATCGCCATGCACATGATGCACGCCCCAAATCTCAGCGGGGATCCGTCGAAATATCTGCAATATCTCAAAAAGCATCTGACAATAATTCGCTCAACCTTTTGTAGCAACAGTTAGCTCGATATAATGTACCCATTGTCTCTCTACTAAAACAATTTAATCCCAGCAGCATGTGCAATACGCCTGAAACAAAGACAGTAGATAATAACCTCTATAACTTAATACGCAACAATCTTTACTTACATTGTACTAGAAACGGTAGTCGGACCGACTAGTTTTGTGTTCGTTACGGTACTTGCAAAATCCCTCGTCGAGCACTTTTTAGTATTATACCCGAGCTCTGCAATGCTGAATCAGATCTGGTTCCTATAACGAACGAATTCCCATTAGGAATAAATCACGCATGCTATATTTCGTTTTAACATTTTTATTCAAAAAACGTACAAACCCAATTTACTTGTAATTCATATATTTCGAGAGAACAGATTGTCTATTTACTGATTAGTGCAAGATCTCTGGTAGGTAGTTAAGCAACGCTGGAGGGTCCAGGCATTGCCTACGGCTGGCAGCACGTCTATGAACGCCGGACTGCCCTCTCGGTTCTGATATAAATATGTCGTAACATGTTTATATCAGAACCGAGAGGGCAGTCCGGCGTTAGATAGTTGGGCTCCACGGACGGCTGTGGCCGCCCTGCAATGGAGACTTTAATGAGCGCCCTCAGTTGGAGCTGAATCCTTTTCCAGATCAAAGTTTCACTGGCTTGTATCGGGATAAGCGCATTGTTAAAAATCCTATCCACGCGAAGTTGCCAGAGCATTGTGATAATGACGGTCACTGCGACTTCCCAAATCGTCCTCCAGGCTGTGGCGAATAGATCAATGTCTTCCGGGTACCGGGCTAACAGCTTTGCTGTGACCTGCGGCGAGATGCGTGGTACGCTACAGTATGCGCAGTGTTCAAGCCAATCCAGGAGGTGGGTAGGATGGTGAGGTGTACTCTCCCAATGACGATAATACATATATATCGCAATAGGCACCCATCTCAAGACTACTGCAGTCATATGTAATTTGTACTTGTCAGTGGGATAGACTGAGATCGCATTTGTGATCGAAAGCTGTTGGTATAAAATAAATGGTGGTGACTGAAGTGATACCTGGGCAAATCGCATCTTTACAGAAGAAAGTTGCTATGCTTGTGACGAAAGTGAGTGAAATATGGGCAGCATTTACACAAGAAAAAGTAGCGTGTCCACGATCATTCCTGGGCCTTCAAAAGGATGCGACGTCACTGAATCAATGCTGAGCATTTGGCTATTTGCATCACAACTGTCATGAGTATGATGCTCGTTCCCCATAAGTGCTGAAACTAGCGTATTTGCTGTAAGATTCGCCTCAGAAGATGCTCTTTAACACCTGCTAGAGATTTGTTGTAATCAAACTTTTCGTACTCTGCCCAAACTCGCTTGTTTCTCTTATAAGTGGGGTAACAAACACACACGCTTTCCACCTTCATCTCCAATTTCTCTACCTTTTCCCGCAAAAGTAGGCAATCTCAAGCGGGCGCACACAATTCGTGACTGCTTCGTACAGCTCCTATCTCAAGCAAAGCGTTTACTCTACTCCACACACAACTATTGTTACTTCAGCTCTAAAACCGTTTACATTACTGTAGTGTCAACTTTTGTCATATCAGCAAATGTTTTCGTCGTCAAAAATCGAGCATAGTCCTGATTGGAGGTATTTGATGTACAGTACACACCTGCCACGTTTTACTCACAGATAAACAAGCCCACCCAAGATTATCATGGCGCAACCAGGTATCATGTCGTCTTGTATCTCTCCTAGCTCTATTAATCCCCATCCTCACCACCTCTCCCTCTATCTAAATGATGTATAGGCTCCTTCTCGAATCCCAACAAACACCAGCAGCCAGTGCAGCTCAATTTGACGCCAGATGGTGGCAAAACGCCACAGTTCTCGACGCCGCCTGCAATTGGCCACCACCGGACGCCGCAGCGCGGTCCTGCACATCAATTTTATCAGAAATCTGCAACGTCTTCGGCTCCGATGCAGACATTACCACAAGATGCAGGATTCTATAACCAACAGGCACCTTCTGCCTTCTCCCAAGACGTGAGTTTCAAGTCACAGGATCAAAGTATCTGCGTAAATTGCCAGTCTAACGTACTCTGATGGGACGTGGTGTATTGCTGCAAAGTTCCAGCAGCCAGGAATGCATGTATCTCCTGCTCAGCAGTTCCAATCGATGCCGACAGGCTTTCAGCACCGTCATCCCAGCAACTTAGATGGATATGGTCAGAATCCTTCTCAGCACACGCCGATGAGCAACAACTCACAACAGCAGGTGCAGCATCCTCAGCAGGTGCAACAGCCTGATTTCATTAATCAGTTCTCCAGGTTAGTTTCTAGTTGATATAAAAGGTGATGGTGGTATTGAATTGTGCTGTGTTTTGATGCTGGTAAAGCAACCCGATGGCAGGACTAGCGATGAACAGTGCACAGGATTTCCTGCAAAAACAATCGGAGATGTATCTTCCGGGAGCTTATGGCGTTTGGGGTAGTCTCAAGTATTACTTTACTGTTAATAACTCTTACGTTAAGAGTCGTCTCAAGGTGCGCATTCTGCGAACTGTGCTACATGTGAATGTTACACTAAGTGTTTTGCATCGCTAGATCCTGCTGCTTCCGTTCAGACACAAGAACTGGCGCCGCATGGGCAACGGCGATCAAGATGTATCGAAGCCAGTACGTCTTTGGATTCAATCAGTTTAGCACAATTTGGTTCTTAACAGTGATGCTGCAATTTGGATGTTAATAGACGCAGTACGCCCCTCCTACTCATGACAGCAACGCTCCAGATCTGTATATCCCGCTGATGGGTTTTCTCACGTACATTCTGATTGTCGGTTATTCCAAGGGCACGTCGAACCAGTACGTCGCACGTGTGCAGCTTCCAATGTTTCGTTTCTGGCAACCCTGTCCTTACAATTTCTGTAACAGGTTCAGCCCAGATGTGATCACAAAGGACGCGAGCTACTGCCTTGTGATGCAGTTGATTGAGATTGGTGTATTGGCTGCGTGCCTTTACGTGCTGAACAGCTCCATCTCGTTTCTTGACTTGGTATCCTTCTCGGGCTACAAGTATGTTCCGTTGGTGATTAATACGGTCGTCTTCCAGTTACTCGGCTCTATCGCCTATTACGTGTCACTTCTGTACACTGGTATTGCCGTATCATACTTCACGGTGAGTCGCTGCTTACTTTACACGTGCATGTGTACTGAAGTATCATGTAGGCCACAGCTCATGTAGGTCACAGCTCTAACAATGTTGATGGTGTCGTGGCACAGCTCAACTGCATGAAAGGAAGCGTAGCAGAACCAACTCCTGAAAACCGCCTTTTCCGTAACTACTTGCTTTTCGGGTAAGTACTTCTATGTGGACAATATTCGTTGGACACGTGGGCTCATCGTGACATGTGGTTGACTTGTTTATATGTCTCAGTGTTTCATGTTTGCAGCTTGTCCTGGTGTGCTGGATTTCTTACACCACCGCACCAGGGAAGTAGTTATGGTCGCCAAAAGTAAACGCTGCCATGTCACAGTCCATCGGCAGTAAAGATGTAGACATCTACTGTGTTGCGGACGCGAGTGGTAGTGGCGAGATAATAATGACCGACGTCACGTTGCTGCTCAGATATGGTGTTCCATTCCTCGTCTTCTGGCCTAAATAATAGGATGATGACATGTCGCGTTCTTGGCTACAACATCAGCAAGACGAATATCATGTACGTGTCTCTTCCCAGAGGGCGGTGTTTAAAAACACCTAGCTTCTAGTCTCTCCTGTGTTCTTCCCTTCTCGTTCATGAACACGTGAGACGACCTTCAGCTTTACTATCGTACAAAGCTAGAGAACAATATGCAAAATATAAAGTGACACTTGATGCGAAGAACCGAACCGCCTGATGCAGGACAATCTTGCTTCTGCCAAATGGAAGCAATAGGCACGATGTTTTGCTGTCGTGCGGTCCCTGTCGGAAACCTCACTCCTTGCGGTAGCAGCTTCAATCCTTCGATCTAGTTGTCGACGCCACTTGCGTTACGTCACGACAGCCATGATGTCCACAGCGTCAAACTGGAAATACCCAAACGGCGTCGAGCCTGCAGATTGACGTAGTGGACTGGGGGATGGACATGTCTCCTCTTCCACACGCTTTAACGGCGCTGACAAACGTCGCGTAAGAATTCGCACTGGTCTCGGGCCCTTTGCATTAAATAGTGCAGCGGCAGCTTGTGATGCAGTTGGATGCAATGTCGGTTTGCCGAAATCATGTGGGTTGCCATCGTACTCGAACTTTCGCCCTGTCAGGCGTTCGTTCACATTAAACATCTCTTCGACGCTGAAGCCCTTCTTCGCATTGCCAAACGTCTCACCATTTAAGCCGTCGTAGGAGGTGGCAGTGTCACATTCTGTACCAAAGTGGCCGCGATTAGTCTTCTTCAAATTGCCAGCAGCTGGTCTGTCATTGTGCGGAGTCGAAATTGACCTCTCTTGCAAATAAGTCTTCTTCTTGCCACAAATGCTCGCTGTGCGTTGCTGGACTGCCCCACCGTTCGTGCTCGACATCAGTGGTCTATTGCGAGGCACAGAAGATGCACGGCCTGTGCTATTTATAGCAGCACTACAGCTCTTCTTCTTGGTCATCTTGTGTCCCTTTACCCATCGTTTCAACCTCGGCATGAAAGGCATAACACTCCACGTCTTCTTAGGCAGTGCATCAAACGTAAACCATTCGATCGTACTAATCTCTTTGCGTGTCTGCGGTGCAAACGCATAGTCTTCTGGTACATCAGGACACATGTACATCCGCATGCGCTGATCATTAGCTACAAATTCCAAGTGCTGCTTTGACTCGAGTCTATCTCCAACATCGTAGCCGCATTCTTCAAATACTTCTCGTCGTGCACACTCCAAGTCCGACTCTCCTTCATTGACTTTTCCCCTTGGAAACGTCCAACTCGTTCCTTTCCAGTTACGTACGAGTACAAGCTTTGTACGTTTCGTATTAAGCAGAATACAGCCCACTACAGGCACTTGACGTTGATACGTTTTAAAGTCCTGAAAGAGCTCGTCACAACGATGAGCAAGTGGTCGTAGTAATGGACAATGTGCAAACATTTGACGAGCAAAATCATTCAATTTGACGTGCTGTAAATGTGCGTATTGATCCGCATAAAAGTCCTCGTAGAACCAATAGCATTGTTCAATCTGGAAGAAGAGACGCTCACTGGAAACGAGCTCCGACTCGGGTAAATTTACTAGAAAACGGCTTTGTAGCTCATCCATCACTTCAGCTAAACTTGGCTTTTTCATACACGTCTGTAACGTCATTGCTATGCGTCGTATTGCGAGCGATTCTTTTCGTTTGTGTGGCCTGCTTGGGAGAGGCACATTTAGGCTTCAAGATGGAGAGATTTATTATTTAATTAGTAATGGAATATGATTGAGTGTACTAATCGTTTTGAAGAGGGTTTTGATACAAATATTCAGTATGATTGATCTTGTGAAAATAACACTTCTTTTAAAAATAGATTTTTTGTGCGAGGAAAGACAAGAACGCTCTCGTCTGCTTCGGTTCGCGCTGGCTTTTTTTCTCCCAGATATTGTGAAACTGATTCTCGTAGGCTTACATTCAAGTCACATTCTAGAGGTTACATCCGTTTTGTTTCACGACGGACGCACCAAAAAAAAGCACTTTTTTATTGTCTTTTCAGCGGATATGATTTCATCCAATAGCTATTGCTTACATAATATAATCGTATCATTGGCTAAAATTAACTTCCACACACTCGACATCAACCTTCACTCGACGATCATGGCCGAGACGCCTCGACGCAAGCGGAAGAGCAGGTTCAGCGATGCCCCGTCTGATTCCACAGCGCCAGTAACCAAGCGAGTGGCTGTAAGTATCGGTGCGTCCCCCATGCTGGATCCTGCGGCCTTGGCGCGCGCTGCAGCGACCAAGATAGCGCGCGCCATCCCCAATTCCGCTGCCCCAGCTACTGTCTCCGTCTCAGCAGTCGTTTCGAGTGCTACAGCAGCGCCATTGGACTCGGATGAATTGCGTAGAATTGAGCAGGAGAAGAGACGTCGGACAGATCAAATTTATAAGTCGGTGCAGAGCCAGATGAGCCACATCAAGGCGCTGTTGCGGAAGCCCGGAGCTTCTGTGACTGGAGCTGAAACAGCTGCACCCACAGCACTTCAGTATGCTGTTCCTGGCAGCGGAAGCACTTTCATGCCAGCCCCATTGCTTCTGGACGAACAGGGACGCGAGATTGATGCTGCAGGAAATGTCGTAGCGGAGAAATCGACAGTGACGCCCGTAGCGTTGCTAAAAGCGAATCAAGGAGGAGCGAGACGTGGAGATGTTGCAAAGAAGATTCAAAACCCGTACTTATCTCATCGCACAGCTGACGCTGAAGACAAGATGGAGGTGGTGGATCCAAGGCTGAAGACCGTCAAACGAGAAACGTTCGTGACTGGGATGAAAAGTATCGTAGTCGTGATGGGGTAGACTGACATTTTTATTGCTTTGTTGTGTATGTGCAGACGCGCGCGCAAGACATTTAACTTTGTTAAGCAAGGAACGTATGTGAAGCAGGCAGAACAGGTGCGGGCCCGTGACGCTAAGAAAATGATGGCTGGTTTTACGTCGGGTCGTAATCCGCGAGGATATCAGAAGGAATTGATTGTCCCTATTGATGATGATGCAAACACGGTCTTGGATAATTCTGATACGACTAGCACAATGGAATTTGACAACATAGATGTTCCGCCTCAGCCAGAGACGTGTACACCTGACATAGAGTGGTGGGATGTGGAATACCTTCCAAAGGACAAGCGTGCTATAGTGGACAAGTATGGGTTTATCAAAGCTAACGTTCGTAAGGAAAACCCAGTGGCTATAGTAACGTACGCTGATATGAAACTCAAATACTGCGGAACTGCACATGTTATTGAGCACCCTGTGCGGCTCAACCTAATTGTAAAGCACGACGACACACCCGTAGCTGTCCCGCTCATGCTCACTGGTGCAGTAAGTAGCGCGCGCTGATTGATATTTTTTTGGTGGTTAGACGATGTTAACGTCAAGATATGTTGACAATGTAGGAGCGCAAGAAAATGCGTCGTCAGAACCGCGCTGACCGTGAGAAGGAAAAGCAAGATAAGGTCGCACTAGGCTTGCTGCCACCTCCTGAGCCAAAAGTGAAATTGTCAAACATGATGCGCGTGTTGTCAGAGCAAGCCGTAGCCGACCCGTCGGCAATCGAGCGACGGGTTCGTGAACAGATAGCGCAGCGTGAGAAGAATCATGAAATGCGCAACCTTGCGCGCAAGCTTACGCCCGAAGAGCGTCGCGAGAAAAAGCTTCGCAAGATCAAAAAAGATGCCGCTGGTGATATCCATGTGGTGCTTTTCAAGTACGTTTCGTTCTCATTCTTGGTGCTGTAATGATTCACGTTGACTAACTTGGCTCACTTCTATTACTGAAAAGGGTGCCAGATCTATCAAACCCACAGCATCGTTTCAAGATCGACGTCAACGCGCAACAGTATCATCTCACAGGTGGTGTGCTACTCTGTAAAGATAGCAATATCAATATGGTGGTGGTGGAAGGAGGTAAAAAAGCTATCAAGCAGTACACGAAACTGATGATGCGACGCATCGACTGGAATGGAAGCTGTGCAGCAGGCCAGGAGTCGGAGAGTGAGGATGAGGAGTCGCCGAAGCGCAGCAACGGGTGCCTGCTTGTCTGGCAGGGCGTTGTGGCACGCAAGGCTTTCAACAACTTTCGCTTTCAGGAGTGCCGGACGTCTGTCACAGCGCGGAAGGTTATGGAGGCCAAGAACGTCGCGCATTACTGGGACCTTGTGGAGAAGTCTGCGGAGGCTACAGCACTCGCCCCCTGGGGATAGAGGAATAGCTCGTCACTAGATGGAGGTAAATTGCTGCACTGTCAAAACCGTTGCCATGGCGTGTGTGCATTCCAGACAACCCTGAACGAATACAAGACACAAGTCGTTCTTGGCAGAAAAGACGTCGTTCGACAGTGCTCTGTTGTCTTGTTTTTGCGGGTGTGACGTTGAATGAACGCCACGTCGTTCGTTGCCCGTGTCGTCACGTCGCCCTCTGCTGCTTATCATTGAGAAAACGGTATGTTAATTTCGTTAATTTCGTATGGACCAGAGACCAAAGAAAAGGATTGACTACCATACGACCCTTATGCCGGAGCTAATCCTCTGCCAATTCATGCTTGGCAAGTGATCACGGATGTTATCAAACAGCTTTTTTACGGTGCAAAATAAGCGTGGCGGATTGTTTTGCGCGTGGCGGCTTCGTCGCTACAAAAAACATTGCAACGTCAGGGAGGGGCTATAGTATCCACCAGCCACAACACTGACAAGGGGTGATACAATCGCTTCCTCGTCACCTTGAGTTTTATCAATGTTGCGTTAAACGCGAACACCATGCACGTTTTGTTTGTCCACATGCGACTAAAGCGACGTTGTTTCAAGAGTTGCAACTTTGCAACAGCCTGCATACGAACGGGCAAAATGTCGAAAGTTTCTCGTCATCCGGTCGTAGTTTCGGTGCACTACGTGCGTCCGGTCAGACAGGTCTACGCTACGAAATAATAAAAATACGGCAGCGGCGACAGCCTCAGAGGAGGACCATAAGTTTGATGCAGTCGACACGGACATTGGCATCCGTCAAGTATGATTCGCAACACCTATTCAGGAGTCCCACGTGCTCGTGCTGGTAATCGACACTTTAGGAGACTCGCAGTCTGTTCAGCAACGAAGATCGTCGGGCAACCAATTGGATCTTGATGCATGGATCGTGCTTGACATCTTCTAGCTTGTCCCTTCTAGAACTCTTCTCTCTCTCTCTCTCTCTCTCTCTCTCTCTTTTTTACGGCCCATTCTACGGCTTTCGTCTCAGCTTAAACGCTCGCCATCTGGCAAGCAGTGAGAAACGGGGCTCAGCGGATGAAAACACACGAGATCAATGACGACAGATGGGGGAATGATGACCTTGTTGCAGTGTTTGTACCATGTGAACCCCATCTGTGTGTTTGTGTGCCTATCCCGAGCGCACGATAGCGAGGAAGAGAGGTGCACTACAATGAAACAATTCTATTGACGTGTAGGCAACTGTTACTGCTAAGTAGTAAATCATTCCTGAGGCGGAGGAAGTTTCTGTCTTACGTCGCAATTTCGCTGCAAACGGCTGCAAAAAAGACGGAAGAATAAGGTCACGGACTTACCAGCAAGTGTTCTTCTACACTGGAAAAACGTTCCTCTGAACCTGATTATCTTGCTGTTTGTAAGAAGCTACACAAAGAAAGGGGAGGGTTGTGTGTGCAGTACGTCTTTTTTGTAGTTCGTCGTCGATCCTGATACTGTCCTCCAATGCACGGATGGCGACGACTGCTTTTACCCAAAGTTCAGCTCTTGTGAGAAATTCTATTACTGTCTACTCGCGCTTTGCATCGAATCGAGAGCTTGGCGTGCCAGTCACATCACATTGCAATTCGCTCGTGTTGAGATCGACATTTTAGCTTTGGAACTCCTTCGCCGCCTTCCTCTCTTTGTCACTTACGACATCTGCAGTTTCTACTTCGTCTCTTGCCACTTTTGATTCCTCGAGACGCGTCAGACACGACCCAATCGACTTGTTCTCTCGACTACACACACATCCACATACAAGGCAACGATTCTGATGACTGACATAGGACCCATTGAGACTCCAAGCTACGACAGCCACAACCGGATGCACGTGCTGGCCAACGGCGACATTGTAGACTGCGGACGCCTGCCGCAGACGGCTCGCAACAATCTTTACAAGACTGAACTTTGCAAGCATTATACAGAGAATGGCAACTGCCGCTATGGCTCCAAGTGCCAGTTCGCCCACGGTGAGGATGAGCTGCGTGGCGTCCTGCGCCACCCCAAGTACAAGACCACACGCTGCAAGGCCTATTTGTCCACGGGCAAGTGCATGTACGGCTCGCGGTGTCGCTTTATTCACACCCGACACCCTGGCGAGGAGGATCAGCGGTTTGTCAACTACGGCAGCAGCGACTTGTCGAGTACCGCGAGCGAGTCAGACGATCAGGAGCCACAGTCGAAGGATCTGCTGGTGAACCCGTACGGCAATGCATTGGAACCGATTGATTTGTCTCAGCCGTTCGGCGGCATGTCATTGGCGCCGTTGTCAGGTTTGTCACCGGCCACAACAGAGTTTGACTCTTACCTAAGCCAGCACTCGCTCCTAGACTATTCTTTCCAGAGCAGCGACCTCGGCAGTTTTGGTTTGCGTAGCAGCATCACAAGTAGCTGCAGTGCCGAGGGATTGAACGCTGTCTCGCCACGATCTGCGAGCAGCACAGAGTCTGCGACATCCAAGTTTTCTCGTCTGACGATCTTCCAGCGCATTTGTCGCGAGGATGAGTAAAGTGGTTCGTCTCCAGTTAGCTCCGTCTCGCTTCCGCATCATCATAATTTATCAGACGACCCAAGCACAAAAAAGGAGTGAGACGTGAGTGAATTATCACACGCAAGAAGACTTTGGCTTCGATGTCGACGGCAGAAGTCCTCAAGTCTTTTTCCAATCTGGAGATATGAAGAGAGAAAATATGTGTATAACTGCCGTCGATGGATTGACGCAGCCTCGTTTTCGCCTCCAGCCTGTAGCATTTTACTAATGAAAAACGTTGTATTGCCTTATAGAAATTTTCACGTGTTTTTTTTAGAGTAGATACTCACTAAATATTCGAAAAAGAATAAAGTTTTCATATGTGAAAAGACCAAACAGTCGTCTCGTTTGAACTCCGTAAAACATGAGCGTCGTTCATTGTGACTGAGACATCAATTTAAAATAGTCTATGAAATTGGTCCTAGTGATATTCACAGTCTGATTGGTAGAAATATTGTCTGTACGTCCTTCTATTGGTGGTAATTGTTCTTGCAATATCAATGATACAAAAACAGTGTCGTCACGCTATCTAATCTTTAGACATCCGTTCAGCGATCATCATGTTTACCGAAGCACTTGTCGTCACGTGGATCAGCATGTGCGTGGTCATGGTGAGACTATGTGTAGATCTGTTACGACATTGGTTTGGACAACGGTTGACCGCTGACAATTTTTTCGGTAGCTGTACAGCGAGTCACGGCTCTGGATTGTCGTGGCCTCTTCGATGGTATAATACTTTAGCAACTGCCTCGTGAATTGTAAGTCTAGTGCTGATCCTAAAGATGCTGTTGAACTCTAGGCTTTTGCAATGGCTCGAGTAGTGATCGTCCCACTAGCTTCATCTAGGGTGAAGACGTTTTCTACCTTGTCAACGTTCAGCCAGCTGATATTTTGCAATACGGCAGTGTCGATGCTGCATTCGGCGCTGTCGTCTCTATTGGCCGTTTTGGCACTTCTTACATCGCACTCACTGAATGGAGATTACGTAAACACTGTCACAAGGGGCGAATTTCTCGCCACTGCTGTTTCAACGGGTAAAGGATACACTTGAGTTTATGTCTTGAAGCTTTCTTTGCATACTTCTGTCATGACTCATGTTTAGGATTCCAGGGTACTTTGCATACGACTTGTGGGACTACGTGCTGAACGAGCTGTATATCAAGTCTCCAGGTATCGTTCTGCACCACGTAGTAGTGCTCATCTGCTACATTTCCGCGCTCATCAGGACAATTGGCGTGCCACTGCTGTCCCTCGCACTTATCTGCGAGCTGCACTCGGTATTCATGCACACTCGGAAGCTGTTGACGATGAGTAATTACTCTGTTCGACAGTCTTCATTTCTGCAGTGGGTCTGGCGGGGGCAGTGGGTATCTTTCGCTTTGGCACGATTCGTGCCTCATGTGATCGTTACCGTGATGACGTATCAAGCACGAAATCTTTTCGAGCAACAGGTGTGACTCCGTCACTGCAGTATTTTCTAAACAACTTGTTGCTAACGGCATTTGTAGCTGCATTTTGTAATGGCGTTCAGCGGAATGATATTCATTAACCTGCTTAATGCTCAGGTACGTCTACTGTACAATAGCATATTACCCTTATTCATCATGACGGATGTTCGTGTACCCTTTTTCCAGCTTTTCCTCGATGTGCACAAAGCTTGTCAAAATGACTATACGTCCCTGATTGCGTCGCCTCTAATGACGAAATCGTCCTAATATTGAACCGGTAGTCAAAAAGGCGGTAGTCAAAACTTCCAATAGTAACTAACTTCAACATGAATTTTGGTCGGACCAAATCATTTTGGTCGCTTTTACGTCCAATTGTGAAGAAGACCCAAACATTTTCGACACCTGTCGCAGACGAAAGCTGGATACGCGTAGGTAGGGCGCCATCATGACCACAAAGAGTGCAAACAAGGATGCAGAGTGGTTCTCCGCCGACGAACTGGCAGCTGCACGCGAGGAATATCTACAAGAGCAGGAAAAGGAGCAGCCGTCGTCTCAGGTACAGAAGTATCAGCGTGCGCCTTCTGATTCTACCGTTATAATGCGGAATGGCTTTTTTCTGTTTGCTAACTTCAACATATGTTTATTTTTTGAGAGTGAAGGTCAAACTACGATATGCCATTGCACTTGCAAAAAGCCGCAAGCGTGACGACAAATATCGGGCTATTGGTTTATTGGAAGGTATTGGATTGAACGAGTAAACAAATGGAAACAAAATGGAAAAGAGTCGGGGTACTAAACGATTTTTGTTATCAGATTTATTGGAACAAAGTTATGCTCTTAAAGAGAGTTTGTACTGGATTGCATTGACACTGTGTGGACTGGGCGAGTATCGTGCTAGTCGCAGCTACTGCGAACGTTTGCTACGGATTGAGCCGTCACATATGAAGGCCCAATTGCTACACAAGAGGATCAAAGAGGTTGTAACAAAAGGTTCGTATAGTGATTCTTTCGTGGCTGTTGGGGGGAGAGAGACTGATACAAAGTACTGTGGTGAGCAGAAGATGGAGCCGTTGGTGTAGGTATTTTTGGCGCTGTGGTCGTCGCAGGGCTGGTACTCAAATTTTTGCTTAAAAGATAAGCAATGGATGTGTTTTTAGCAAGTGCCGCAGACCGACAAGCTGGTATCGAGCCTCTTACAACGTAATCCTTACTACTTGACAGACAAACGAGGACGGAATGGATGTACTTACTGGCCACAGTACCATCAAGTAAGGAACAAAATCGCTGCTGAAGTTACAGTGTTTGAGAGTGCATCTGTCTACGCGACATGACCACTACAGCCCTGCAAACGCGACAAACTAATTACTACCTATCGTTTTCGTATCTCTATCAATCGGTACACCAAGTTCACCCATGTCTTACAGCTGAGACAAAGCTTGCTGCTCGTCACCGCTGAGCTTTGCCCATGCTCCCTGCACTACTGGACCAGGCAGCTGAGATTGCAACTTGCCCAGCAACTGACGAAGTTGCGGCTTGGTCTCCTCCAAAATAGTCGACACGTCCTCGTCGTCCGCGGCATCCTCCGCCGCTGCCATATCGAACACTACATATTGGCAAAAACAGAAGGCCGCGACAGTTAGATGCAAGCCCACCTTCCCGGCATACCAAAACAGACGCGATTTGAACTTACAAAGAGCTGATGCGAACACCTTCAAGATCTGGGCAAGGTTAGCGTAATCAGCGCCAAGCACATGAGCATTGCCGCTGTTCACAAGTGAGACCAGACGAGCATGCACCTCCTGCGCTTCGAGTACATCCGTGCGAAGCGGCAGCCAGCTGAGCCACATAGGCCACATTTTGGCAGCGTCTACAGCCCCCTCGCGCGCCAGGCAGATTTTGGCCACAGCACTAATCGCGTTGTCACGCGCGGCACCAACTTCATCATCATCCACGTTCGCTGAGACGTTGATCAAGTGCACCATCTTTTCAAGCGCATTCTGGCAAAACGGATCGAACGCAGCGCCACATTTCTCGGCACTGACACCAATACCATAAGCGGACGCTTGGATTACCGACGGGCTCTGGTCCTCCAGACCCTGAACAAGGTGATTCAAAAACAGCGGCAGTAGCTCCTGGGCAGAAGCGCCGCAGTGCTCAATGATATCATCAATCATGCAGACAGCCTGGCCGCGCACCATCGGCACTGTCTTCTGCTCCAAAAGCGGCATCACGAACGCCAGTAGGTGCGCTTTGAACACAGGAAAGAACGCTTCCTTTTGAATCTTCACGATCCAGCCGATCGAGTCGATCATCGATCGGAAGACGCCTTCTTCCAGCTCATCGTTCTCGGTCTGCTGTAGAGCAGCCTCGGCGTCGTAGTCTTCATCCTGTTGATTCTCGTGGTGCTGCGTCATCAAACGCTGAGCACTTTTGGACGCCACAGTCTTGAATACCTCTACCACGCGCGGAACGTGCTTCAAAGGAATACCTACCTGGAAACCCTTCTCCTGGCTTTCTTTGCATACCTCCATGACTGCAGACATGGCCTCGGCGAATGCCCCAAGACACTCTAGGTCCTCTTCCTCCTGCAAACTCTTCATCATTGGCTCGAAGAATTTTTCAAAAAGCTGTTGCGGGAACTGTGGCGCTGTCGCACCGTGACCTTGGTGCAGCGTACCCACCACAGCGCAGTTCAGCAGCTTAGCCATGGTCAAACTGCACACAATACGAATGTCTTCGACATACTCAAAGTCCATCAGCGGGATCATCACCTGTGCAACCTCGGCCACGTACGGGTAAAACCAACCCTCTAAATCAAGCGCCGACTGGTAAAGCATGTTGCACGCATTCGTCTTGTCCTCAAGTGCACTCGTGTTGATTTCCAAGCGCTTCTTGCCCACCCCACGGATGTTGAGCATCATAGTATCCTTGCCATCGGCAGTCTGACCGTTCTCCTCGACATCGTCATCAGTGACATCCGACAGTTGAATATCCGGCTGGATCTGCGCCTGCTTGATAAGCGCCGGAATCACGTGAGGCAAATAAGGGACGAAGTCTTCCTTGAGGATACTGCCAATACGCACACACGACTGCGCCACATACTGTACCACGGGGCCTTCCAGCTCCTCGCTGGACTGCACACGCACTAGAATCTCCATGATTTCCTTAGCATCGTTTACAAAACGCTCCTTGCCCACGGCCTGACCGATAAGAGCAATCGACTCCATGGACTTGCCACGTAGCAGAGCGTACTCCTTGCCATGAGCATTCGTTAGTACCTCCTTTGCAAGCGGGATGAAGATGTCGTAGAAGCGAAGAAATTCATCGCCAATTACCTTCGCCACACTGGCAACAGCAGTGATAGCCTGTTCCTGTACCTGCCGCGGGCACGAGCGCATCGTGTTAAAAAGAGCTTCAAGCAGGGCTTGGCTGTACGGAACCACGTATTTGGCCTTACACACGTTCGTGTTGCAGAAGTTTATAACCACGCTGGCAGCCAGAGCACGGGTGCGCAACACACCCTGCTCATTCTGAATCAGCGCCGTAAGCGCCGGCACTACCACAGTGTGGAACTTCGCTTGGAAGTTCTTTCCCTTCTCCACCTCACCGAAGTCCTCGGCAATCTGTCCGATACTGTGCAGCGCAGCGTACTGCACACGTGGGTGTTGGTCGTTCAGGAAAGGCAGAATCATTCCCACCACATTGTCGAGCTCACGGGTCATGAGCGACTTAGCCCCCTCGCCTAGCAGGCAGGTAGCATACAGGCCAGCGCGACGTTTGCGCCAGTCGGCATCGCCGAGGAAATCCTTGATGACCGGAATGGCTACAGGAAGTACAGCGTTGCCGCCCAGAGACGTGCTCAGACGGTCAATAGCCGCGGCACCAGTGTCACTGATCGTGTTATCGGCTTCATTAGCCTCGGTGAAGGTCTCCGGGTCGTCAAACTTCTGCACCCACGTCTCGTCCTCTTCGACCTCAGACGTCAGCTGGATGGCCAAAGGCACCACGTTCGTGACGATGAACTGCGACTTGCGTACCATACCGCCAGCATTTTCGCACAGCAAGATGATGAACTCCAAAGCAAGCTCACGAGTTTCCGAATCGAGCTCTTGCGACGAGCACACGACGATAATAGCGCGGGCCACATCGTCCAGGGAGTTGCGAAAGAACTTGGGGTGTACCTCGGCAATCTGCACGAGAGCCGACAGCACCTCACGGAAGGCAACTTCGTCTCCATCATTTACCAGCACCTTAATGATACGCAACATTGGGGCTACGATAATGGCAAACGCCGACAGCTCCTGCTTGTCCTCGAGCGTCAGCAGAAAAGCCGATGCGGTCTTGAGGCTTGCAATCTGCACCTCTACGTTGGCATCGTTGAGCGAATTGGTAAAGAGCGTAAGGAAGTTCTTCTTGTGCGGGTCTAGCAGGTCACTAGCGTACTCGGCCAGCTTGGCCAGCAAGTCGAAGGCCGTAACACGCAACAGCGCGTCAGCATTTGTTGTAAGAGCCGACACGACGTTCAGCAGCTCGGGCCACTCCTGCTCGTACTTTTCTGAAACAGCGGCGAGCTCCGCGATCAAGTGGCCGAGTTTGCGGCGGACATGAGCCACGGGCTCACTGGCCACGGCCTCCAGCAGCTGCGCTTTAAGAATGGCCTGCGCAGCCGCATCCAGATGCGCGTAAACGCCTGCCTTGACCTCCACTAGTGGACGCAACAGCACGGTCGCAAAGGCGCGCGCTTCCGGCTCGGGAGCCGTGCGCAGCAGCTGCACCAGGTTAGCCACGAGCATCTGAGGCTGCTCCGCTTTAAAGGCCTCATACGCTGTCTCGGCCTGCTTGCGCATCGTGTTGTCGTTGCTCATGAGAGCGGCCACCAGCGCCGTAAAGTCCATGAAGAGGTCCAGTAGGGCGAGGAAACAAGGCAAAGAGGAACGAGCGTGCTGTTACGCCTGCGACTTTGGAAGAATGGACGCATGGCAGCCAGCCAGTCGCGAGCTTCAGCCAATCGATCAGCTGTTTTTGTCAAATGGCTACGAAAAGGTGACGCAACGTAAGACTTGCATTGCGGTACCTTATAATATGTGCTTTGGAGTTGGGGTACTGTATACAATGCGATTATTTACAAGGTGTTCACTTCTTCTGAGCGAGGATGTCAGTGCCGGTTGACCCGGCGGTATCTCGTATGCGGCCAGCGTAGAATTTGGTGGGCCTCTAGGGTCGCGCTCTAGCAACTCGATGCAGCCATAAAGCAAGGCACCATGCGTAACTGACGCTATTTTTCGATGCTTCCTTTTTGCGATTGCTCAGAGCTGACAAAGGCACGAAGCCCAAAAGTGGCGATGCTGCTGGGAAGGTGGAGCTTGACAGCCTTGCGCGTTCGGCTTCATCCGCGTCATCCTGAAATCGTTCCGTCAAAGTTTCGTTCGGTACGCGAGTATGTTGCGAACCCGTCGACTGACACAGACCTCCAGGAAGTTGTGGGTCAATTGTCAGATTACTTTTGAGCCTTTCGGATCCGCTGGGCCCCGTTATTGCTCACTAAAGCCCCAGTTCTAATCTCATAGCCCAAGAACCGAGCTGTGTCGCCCGTAGGGATGACAGCGATGCCCTCGTACCGCTCGAGCTTGACAGACCGATTCAGAATGAGCAGCTGACGGTTTGCCGGTTAAACATGGAGGCCGTAGAAAGTGCCAAATTGTAGACGGGCACTTTTACGAAGTTGCCTCGTACTACTAGCACACACCTTATGCACAAGCGAGGAAGCGGTTAGACTGTGGCGAAGTGAAGGAGTGATTCGCAAAGTGTGATCGCATATTTTCGGTTAAGTCCGAAATGGCCAATATTAATGAGTCGCGATCTCGTGGCCAATATTGATGAGTCGCGATCTCGCAGAAAGGTTTCAAGACGATGTCAAATAGGATGGAAAACAGTGAATGGTGTAGTTTGCACTTCTATGTGGGGTCAAATATGGCCTAGGAACTACGCTATTGCGATCTCCAGTATTTCCGATGGCGATCCGCGTGAACGCGGTCGCTAGGGAGGAAGATGGGTACATCCAAGCATGTGGAGGACGGTCTGGTGTGGATCACGTCGCTATGAAGGACTGGAATGGTGGATATGACATGTAACATAGATGAACTATCTCACATGACCTGAGAAACGGTGAAGAGGACAAGTTGTGATCCGGCGGATCGCGATCCGATGCTAATTATTAGTATCGCGATCCGATATTAATTATTAGTACCGCGATCCGATATTAATTATTAGTATCGCGATCCGATATTAATTATTAGTATCGCGATCCGATATTAATTATTAGTATCGCGATCCGATATTAATTATTAGTATCGCGATCCGATATTAATTATTAGTATCGCGATCTGGTACTAAAATGGTACTATATCCGAGCGAGGTAGCGATCCAGATCGCGACTATATTGGAGTGGACCACATTACAAGATCTGATTTTTCCGAAAGGGCGATACGTGGCAACCGATCCTGAGCTACAGATAGTCAAGATCATAGGTTTTGGTATTTGATTGGTTAACATTAACAGAGTTCAATTTGCTTCTAAGTACACGTGTCGACTTCTCTTCCGGGATGGATTCTTTGGCCTCCCGACGTCTCAAGGAAGTCTACCTACTACGCAAGTCATATCCCTGGATTGTTTGGCCAGGGATTACAAGAACTCTCAAAACAAAACAACTCAAGCTGCGATTGGACGCAGAGGACTAAGAAGTCCAGATACAAGATCGCGAGACGGCTCAAGTGGTCAGAAGGCAAGCGGATCAAGTATCTACATTTTGGACAAGGCGATCTCAAGGGAGATCAGGGCGACTCAAATAGAGCACCCCAAGAACAACTGCGATCGTGTGAGGAATTCCACGCGATCGCCCCCCACCTATCCCTAACACAATCAAGTTCAACATCGACTCAAGTCTACCGAGAAGAGAGCAACCCGCCCTACCGACGGGTACACAAGGTGAGGAAGGCTATACACACGGAATCGGGGTACCCCCTCCGTTAGTCGGTCGTCCGGGCGCCAGTGGAGAGTTGGGATCGCATCAGCAATTTTGCGAATCCCACTCCACCACAATGGTGCGCGTGCCCGGATCTTCTGGTGACTCGGGATTTCACCGTGAGTCCCTGAGAGAAGATGTCAAGATCAAGACTGAACCTGGGATTGAAGCGTCAGCGGCAAAGGGATCACCGCAGACGTGTGAAGAAAAAAGATCCTCGGATCATCAGCGTTTTGGGAGGGGCGCAGATGAAAAGAAAACCAAGGAGGAAGATCAAGAGATTGATCTGGAAGAAAAACCTCTACCCCCTCCCCAGGTCCTTTCGAGTACCCCTGCGGATCGCGTTGCAAAACGCGATCCGCTGGATAAAAATCCTACGGTTAAAACCGAAGGAAATTTATCCAAAACCACTCCGAATCGAATCGAAGAAGAATTCGAAGCCATCTCGAGTGAAGATGAAGGCGCCTGAGTCGGATCATGATGATGCCGACATGAGGCTGACGCATTAGGAATACAAGGCGAAAGGATGGCAACTGGATCAGCTGGAATGGTGTTTTCATTGGAAGGCGCTTAAAGATCTGTTGTCAAGCGATCCCGTTCTAAAGATTTTGAAACCGAAGTTAATTGGATCGCTGCGAGGACCAATTTCAGCTCCCATTCCGACAACGAACCAGTCGGAAGCGATCCGTCGGCTTATGGAGTTGCTCCAGAACGCTGGATTCACCGCTGGAGCTTTTGACACACAGGTGCTGTTGGAATGCGATCATGATCGGGTGATCCAAGCAGGGCGATCTCTTTTTTCGAAGCTAGTTCCTCTCACTGGAGAGCGCGATCCGGTGGATCAGACGATACAGCCGATTGCAGATATACCAAAAGGGTATCATACTGGATCTTCGCAATATATGTCAGCGGAATTCGAAGGGGAGTCGGACGACTCGATTAATATGCAGCGAATTTCACTTGGACCGGCTGGTGCAGCGCATATTCGCGAGCGACTGGCACCGATTAAGGCCAGAGAACAATCGACGACGGCACTCACAGCTGAAGACATGAATGTGAATGGATCAGGTCAATTGCAATCTTATTTTGAAGCTGCCATGAGAAAGTACGAGCAGGATCAAGCTCGCATGATCGCCAGTCGATCCGCGATCCCTACAAACACCCCAAAAGTTTGCGTTTCGGATGTGGATATGGAATCGGCCGGATCGCGTCAATCTCGATCCAATAATTACGATCCAGACGATTTGGGTCTGGAGGATCTAAGACGGCCACAAGTCGCAAGTGCAGGCGCTGTACCTAATGGTGGACTTGTCACGCAGCGGATTCGAATGTCTGCGATCGCAGATCTAAAAGAATTTACAGGACGAGACAAGGATGAAGATCGAGCGAGAAGTTGGGTCAACAAGGCCAAGTCGGCGTTTTTACGCGACCAAGCCCCGGATGATGAGAAATGTCTAGTATTTGGTGATTTACTTACGGGGCCGGCACGAAATTGGTATAGCCAGTTAAGTCGATCCACTCGGAACTCATGGAAGTCGTTGTTGGAAACCTTCATGATCCAGTATTGTGGATATGGTATGTCGGTCGGGAGACAATACTATCATGCGAAGAAGCGATCCGATGAAACGCCATTGGAATATTTGTATCGACTGAATGTGGCCGCGATCCGAGCAAAAATTCCCATTCGGGAGGGATCGCCCTCAATTCGCCGAGAGCATGTGGAACATTTTATTGGTACACTTGACGATCGCGATCTGGCTAAGCAGTTGACGTTGCTACGCCTTGGAGACGCCGATGATATGGAAGAAACTCTGCGAACATATCAACGCATGGAGGAAAGACAGTATCCGAGTGCAATGGGGTCGAGCAAATTTCGTCAGCGATCTGCGTCGGCATCCACTCCGGCACCCTCGAAACCAACTCGTGCTGTGAGAGCGATTCGTCTGGAAGGCAGTAGCAGTGAGTCAGACTCGGATATTAGTGGATCAGACGCCGAAACAGATCGACGCAACTTATGTGTGGCCACAGTACCAGATCGCGTGAAGAAATATAGTGATCAACGCGCGGGATCAGACCATTTGGATCAAGATCGCGGTCCAGATCGCGTGGTGAATCAGAAGGCTTGTACCCATTGTGGGTCGAAGAAACACGATGATCGTGGATGCTGGAAGAGACTAACGTGTCAGAAGTGTGGTCGTAAGGGACATCCGTCGGACAAGTGTTTTTACACCTGTGCTGCTTGCGGAGATATCCATGAGCATGGAAAATGTCGAATGGAAGAATTCTACAACATGATACGCAAGTGGTATGTCCCAACCAAGCATGCTGGAATGCTTCCGCCGAAGGCTGAAGAAATGTTAAACTAGGACGCTCGCCAGGTTGGAATCTGGTACGAGCCGAGCGTTCTAGGCTCTGCATTTATGCATTTGTGGAAAGAAGATCGACAGATCAGGGCGTTAACACTCAGATCGACCCGAATAATACATGTGAAGATTCAAAATGTCTGCGTTCAATATCAAGCGTCGTAAGAGTTGATGAATATGCCCGATCGCCTGCGAAAATGGAGCTCGACTTAGCACCAGGTGAATCACGGGGATATTGGAAATACCACACCCCAGGAAAATGGTTCAAGCAAGCCAAGGCAACGGGCAAAATCAACAATGAAAAGGCGATTATGTTGTTTGATTCTGGAGCCGAAGTCTCAATCGTCGACACCACCTTTGCTCGTAAGGTAGGATGTGTCATTGACGAGAGTCAGAGGCAAGAATGTGTTGGGATTGGTGAGAACACATACATGGCAGACGGTCGTACAAGAATCAAGATCACGCTGAATGGATCGCTAGTCTATTATTTTGATGCTTGGGTAGGAGATCA